GGCTGGTCTGCTTTCATATATTTTAATTATTAATCCTTCTATTGGCATGAACAGTGAATTGAGTACATATGGGATTATCAGAAGATATGGGATTTTTAGTCTCAGGTCCCACTCTTTAAGGTGAGAGGCCTTTGGCAAGACACTGTGCAGGCTGAGAATTATAAGAACCCAGGTTTGAGGTGAGGATCAGAGGAAACACAGTTCACAAGTGCTTTTTAAACTGCAAATTTCTACAGAGGTTTTAGATTTAGAAAAATATATAGAATGGGTAACAATGATCCTGTGAGGATATAGCGAAGGTGTCGTTAGTATACACAATAACAAGGCTCAGAGACATCAAGGAGTTGCCCTGAGTCAAATAACTAGAAAGGGATGGAACTAAGACTTGAACACAGCTTTCTGGCCTCAGATGCCCTGCAGTAGTATCAGGACTCTCAGCTAGCCCCTCCTCAGGATAGAACTGAGCTCTCAGCAAGCTTTCTTTGCAGCCCACAGAAGGGTCAAAACTCTGTAAACCAAAAATCATGGCCCCTGGGAAGGTGCATGGGAGAGGGGGGAGAATGCATTTGAAACTGAGAGCATCAGCCTTTAATGATGGTGCACCTGGCTTCTATGTCCTGCCCCAGTGAGTGTGAGTCTGAGTGGTGGGTGTGTGGACATGATTGGGGGGAGCTGGTTCCACAGCACACTGACTCCTGAGCTGGAGGCGCCATGCTTCCTGTGAATGACCCACGAGAGCCAGCTGAGGCCAATCTACAAGAGTGCAGGAAGCAGCAGGCCTCACAGGACTACCCCAGAGAGGTGTACTACACACCCTGAAGGGGAAAAAATCTTGATATGACCAAAGACAGAAAGGCTGAAAAGCACATCATGCTGATTTCATGCCGTTACAAAAATACACAGACACAAACCCAATCCAGCATGTTATGTCTTGGAAATTCTGATATATTAAGTTTCCATTAATCTTTCCTGACAGGTCTGGCCTTCTCCATAGCAGATCTTTTGGGGACACCCAGAGCAGAGTTCACCATGTAGACACAATGATACAGGCCAGTGACCTCTTTCTGTCAATGTCTGGTAGGATGAATGGGATGTGTGATTATCATCAGGATGTTTTCAAATGTCTCCATTTCCAGGAGAAGAAAAGGTTTGATCGTTTAGGTTTGATTTAATTCTCCCAAAGAGAGTATTTTAGGGTAAAAAGGAAACAGACCTCTTCTTATTTCTGCAACTCCCAACACAGCTGCAAAGAACACATCAGGTGGGATATGGAAGTCAGGCAGGAACTGCTGAATGGGGCAGCTGCTTTTTGCTCCATGTTTCTACCTCTGTGTTGCTTAGATTTGAACCCAAGCTCTGGATTCCAGAAGTACTTGGGAGGCTTGGTGCCTTCTAGCTGACACTATAACCAATCCACAAAGGGCAAAGGGGAACTTAGAGAGGGTAATGTTGTGTTCATTTATGAAATGGGAATAGTCATAGCAATCAAAAATCACAAAGAATAGAGAGCAGAGGGTTGAACTGGCCAGAAATTGCTCCCACTTACCTGTTACCACTTTGTTCAATTGAAAAGGATGCACCTTCCATGGTCCAACAGTAAAAATGAAATTGACAACCATTTGTAGAAGTCATAATTCAGGATTGAATCAAGGATGAAAAACAGCCTATGTTTTAAAAAGAGGCTTATGACTCCGCCAACAAACAAACAAAAACCATTTTGGATTCATTAGCAGTTAGCTGCAATAACAGATTTTGTGATATTGTCAGTCCTGCCAAATGCACATCAGGTGTCAAATGTACAAAACCCTCATGTTTTTCAGACATTTGTGAAAATGCCAGAACCTTTAATTAAGACACCTTTAATTGAGACCCAATCCTGTGAATGAACCCAGGACATACATGGAAATTTGCAAAATCACATTCACAGCTTTCTTCCATCTTTCTAACCCTAAACTCAGAATAATATTAAAAATCCTTTCCTAACTCATATGTAATGCTAGTTTCATATTGGGTTTCAAAAAGTATAATGAAGTAAATGGTTTACATCTCTCTCTCTCAACAAAGTGTTATTTAAAATTAGCAAGGAGTAAATGACTATCTTCAGTGCTGAAGGTGAAACTAATCTTTCTACTAGTAATTATCTTCTAACTTTAAAAACAATGTCCTTAAATTATTTAATAAGTGTATTTCTAATACATCTCTAAGAACTACAGTTAAAACCAGAATAAAGTACATTCTGCGGACAAAGCTAACTGTAATTTTAAAATCCCTAACAGTTTATAGGTATAGAACTTTTAAGTATACTAATGTATCAGTCTAATTGTCCTTTATTTTTGGCTCATCTAATTTACAAACACAATTTCTGAAGTTTAACAGTATTTGTAATGGCAATGTCCAAAGCAATTTTGGCTGAGTAAAGCGCTACTCGCCAAACAAAAATGTAGATGTTTGTGCAAGTTTAAACATTTCACAGGGCCAGCTGAGTTCATTTCAATCCTACTTACAACATAATTATTGGCAAATGAAATGGGCTAGGGGAGGTAGAGACAAGACATTTTCAAGCTTCTGAGAGATTTACAAAGCCAAGTTCTTCAACTATTGAAAGTAAAATTGAAAGGTCACAGACAATTGAAAGGTACAGGTTTAAATCTCAGGATTAAAAAGGGTTCCAGCAAGAGGAATATTTACAATAGAACAATGAAGAAAATGTTTTGTTACAGTCAGAAACATGGAAAATATGCTGTTTGAAATTGTTGGCTCTGGAATAAATAAAATCCAGACTTTGACTATTAAAAATATCAAAGTGATCCACTGTGTGCCAACTCCACTTTCTTCTGTTGTTTGTTATAAAGAAAATCCATTATTGAATATAATGCAGTTCTGGTTAAATTATCAAAGACATTTTCCGTATGCAAACGGTTATTTACCATATGCTATATATTGTTCTCTAACAATTTTCATACACTTTTATCAAGATTCCATAGGTGCAGAATTGGAAGGAAATTTAGAGTAATATTTGTACCTCCTGCCCAAGGTACAAACCCCTTCTGTTAGAGTTATTTAGTTCATCTCTACTGAGTACCTATTATGAGCAAAATATCTAGATGGCAGAGCAGAGATACAAAAACAACTTCAAGATGTTCATGGCCTTTAAGGTGAAAGAACACATTCTCATCCAATAGCTGTCATTAAGCCTAGACTGAAACTCTTTTGTCTTGTGACATGGAGCATATCACAATGCAAGGAAACCCATTCTTTCAGTAACCGGTTCTATAATTAGGACTGTGTGCATTAAACTGAGGCTTACATCAACTGACTCCGGTTTTGTCTTCTAGAAAAATATGGGACATATCTACTTTATTTTCTTTGGCCTAGTTCTTCAAAGATTTTGAGAAAACTTTCTTGTGTCCTGCATCCTATTTTTCCCCTCCCCTTTCATGCAGGAATCTTGTTTCCCCTAATTTTCACTACCACAAAATGCTTTACTGCCCGTAAGGATTTTAAAAATTATTTCATATCAACTGAATGAGCTTAACAGCTAAATATTCAATATTGCATTTAAAATAAAACAGCCTTTTAAAACTATGGCATTCAGAAACCAAGAGTTATAACAATTGGTTCCAGTCTGGAATTATCCTTTTGTAATTAGACTAGCATTGACTAACAAAAGATGTTTAGGGGAAAAAAGTTGGAACATCTAAGGCTTTCCAACACTGTGTGTATTTGTGGGGGGGGGGGGGACATGATAAATCTATAATGAAATTCATGTGCTTTAAGACAATGGTTGAACTTGGTATTTGAAAGTATTTAAATCCGAGATTTAAAAAGTCACAAAATTAATTAGGCCATGTTTCAGAAGTGACTCTACAAATCTAAATTTCTTACCAGCAAGTCAGGTTAATGACACCAGACTCAGCTATCTTTAATAAATAAGCAAGGGACTGACTGACATGTTAAATTTTCTTCTAGTGGTTATACATTTAGCACCTTTATAAGCCATAACTAACAGACCCAGGATAATTTAAGATCAGGAGACTTTATTTAGCCTCCAGAATGGCCCCTCCAACCCCAAATACACGTAAGAACACCAAGCGAAGGGGTTAAACTAAAAAAAAGAAGAGATTGTTTTATTGTGACATTTATGACATTGACCCCTTGTTGACAGGAATGACCGAGGGTAATCTTGGCATATTGCACATGCTGCGATGAAGGATGCACTGGTAATCCTCTGGCGACTGAGGCTGTTTCCTGGTCCTCCCAGACCTCATGCACATGTGGGCCAGTCACAGAAACTTCATTACCACTTGGTGTATACATTTAACAAGTCTTTGGTCTTAATAAGCACCATTACAAACCCTCACATTAAGGGCATTATTATTCTAGTTTATAAATGGTTCAATGATAAAAAATAGCACGATTACAGTATACACACACTTAATTTACATGTAATGTATTATACTCATAACTGAGATAAGCTACTGAACTAACTTTGGTTGATTGAAATTAATGAAGTATTTGAACTGAATACTTGTAATTTGGTTTCTAAATTTTGTAAATATTACAGTGCATTTATAAATCTAGTTTGAAAATTTACTAGCACCAAATAGATATTATAAATGGCCAACCTAGTACTTGTATTTGGAAAAGCAAAGTTTAAACATTTGAAAACAAACAAAAATAAAAACAGAGTAGTCCATCAATTGAAAGCACATTCCTGTACGTCTGCTGGAAGGATGGCGTGTCAGCATAAATGGCCAACCCCCAATGGAAACACGTGTCCCAGTTTTCAAGAATCAACACATTTGACAAGGTAGCTTAGCTACACACACAAGAAGCCTGAGAAAGTGGTTGTTTTGAACTAGGGTAGTCATCTGTACCTTGCTGTTGTGATACAAGAATAGTGCTTATTTATACAAATTTACGTGGTGAAAGATTGTACCTATGATATGAAGATTCTGATTGGGGGAAAATATAATTCTACCTATCTATATTTGTTTTTCTTTTAATTATTTGGTCTCTGGATGGTGAATTAATGAAGCAAAATCTGGATTTTCATCTTCAGATTATCACCCAGTTCACCACTGAGGTAGTCTTTGTCATATTTGTCTTCTAGCTGGTTAAGTTCTTTCTTTTTATAAAGTGGAGTACTACTGATTTGTAATGAATAGGTTCCAGCCACTGGCTTCTTCTTTGTGAAGTGGAGGTAGCTGATCCCTTCCTTTTGGTTAATTTTAAAGAAACCATCTTCGTTTCCAGATTCAATCAAGTATCTGTTATGATTTGTCAGAGTTGTAAGGGCTGGAAGGAGTTCTAGGATTCGGACTTTGTTACTGACGTGGGAAATGTTGAAAGCGAAGATGGCTGTCTTCTCAACATCCCAACTTGCAAGACTCACATTGGCTTCTTTCTCAGACTGATCCTGGAAAGACACACAGCAATGTGTTAAATACAATGTAAATATGCCACTTAATTCTCACATTAAGGAAACAGTAACTCACCCTAATACAACTTCCCATGCTGCATATACATGGGAAATGCATATTCAGAAAGCATTTTGTTTAAACCACAAATATATTAAACTGGCACTTATTTGTAATATTTAAAAATACTAAACTGATGTCAGAAAGAAAGGTTAAAATCTCTTGTATTTTGTGGTCTTCTCACACAGTGGGTCTCAAGGTGTGTTGCCTGAACAAGCCACATCAGCATCACCTGGGAATCTGTTAGACATGCAAATTCTCAATACCACCCCAAACCTATGAATCGGAAACCCTGGGGACATCTCCCACCAATCCATTTTAACAAGGCTTCTAGATGATTCAGATGGATGCTCAAGTTTGAGAACCACCATTCTAATGAATTATTTTTTTTTCCAAAGACTTATCTCTTTTCCAAAGCCACAAACCCAGATGGGTTACAGCACCAATACGAAAAATCAGACTATTTCAATTTGGTTCGCTGACGCAAAACCATCCCCTCCTTAGGACACACCTATGAGCCTACTTCCTGGCTGTGATGATCTGCTAATATTCAATGCTTTTCACCTGGCTTCTTGCTTGCCTCTCTGGGACCATCTGTGCTGGATTCTATGGGCCTGCAGCCAGAGGTCTGGGTGAATATCTGTGCATTTCTGAGTCGACTGAAAGGCTGCAGCAGCCGTAGGCAAAGGAAACCAGGCTTCTTCAGCTCCATGTTATTTTTGTCTGCAATCCAAGTTTTCTTATACTCCACATGGCTCTCTTCAGTAGAAGAGCCTGTAGCTCTCAGAACTTGGCGTCCATGAGTAGGGAGCACTATGTCACTTCGCTGTTCTGCCCACTTGCTGTCCTGGATCTCAGACCTTATCCTTTCAGCAGACTTTGGGTGGGTGTTTGACTTTTTTTTTTTGGCGAGACAGAGGAAATGAGCAAGTATGTGAAATCCTTCGAATGGCCACTCCCTAAAAGCAGCAAGAAACTCCAGAAAGCCCCACAGCCTCTTGTAAAATCAGCCCAGAGCTCAGGGTATGTCTGGACTTTTTCCCTGGGGAGTTTTTTCACACTATGGAGCATCCTTGGAAGAAGCCACAGGAATCTGAAAGGCCTTTTCACAGCAGGAAACATCAGAAGAAACCACCTTGTGACCCACCTCGATATTGGAGGCATCTGTTTCATTTGTGCTTCTCCGTTTCCTGCCTCGTTTGGGGTAGCCATTGATCTTACACTCGTAACAGGTCTCTGGAGAGAGTGAATTGTCATCCATTTCACTGCTGACAGGTGGCTCTGGGTTTCCTCGGCCCATGCCCATTCCAGAAACACAGTGCCTGGGGCAGAAGGGAAGCATAAGAGATTTTCATTAGAACAGGGAGACAAGGGAGGGGGTGCAAGAGTTCTGGTGAAGTCTGGTTCCTGCACTTGTGAGATTTAGCCCTTGGTTATCCATTGGGTGGTCAGCTGGTTCTGAGAACCACATTAACATCCTCTGCGTTTGGCCTCTAATTCCCAGTCTCCTGAGTTTATTGATTTCTTCCTATCTCTCAAAACCCTATTTTGCATATTTATTTGCCCCTTCACTTCCCAAACCTAACACAGAGGCATTTTGCAGTACTTACACTGGGGAGGCAACACAGAGTGGAAACAAAAGAAGAAAGGGATGAGGGAAGCCATGTGACTTAGGAGGTTAAATAAAAATGGGTTCTTTTTATGAGGCAGGCTCTATGGGAGTGAGTAAGGTATGAGACATCACTATTCAGTTTCTTGCATTCTCTCACTTTTACCACCACTCTCCATCACTTAAGCTGCTGAACAATCGTTCCTATTCTTTGACATTTCACTTTTGCTGATGCTACTGAGGATAGGAAGAAAGTTCCAGGTGATAATTGAAGGTTAATTTAGTAATAAACTGTGAAGATATGCAACATATAAAATGCATGTATCAGAGCTTGCCCAACTGTGGGAAATTGTTTCAAGTCATTGAAAAACCACTAGGGCCGTTGGCTCTGACTCATGTGAAGCCGGATAAACAAACCCATGCCCAAGAGAGAACTAGTTCAGCTGTTTTTCTTTGCCTTTCAGTTATCAAAGCCAAGTTATGGAGGGAGGCTTGCATGTTTCATAAGTATCTTGTTTTGTTATTCTGCTTACTATTTCAGAGGCCACTTAGAATGTGTATTTATCAAGCTCCTTTTTCCCAAATGTGTTGAAACATTTGAATAGTCCTAAAAGAATCTTTATTTTGGGGCACAGTCCACTCTGGTGATTCAGAGGGGGTCAAAACTGTTATAAATGGGTAGATTTCTACTCATGGGTCATCATGTGAGTCAAATGTTATTGACCTGTTTTTCTGTAACAGTTGACCTACTCTTTATAATTCTGCATGCTCTTAGGATTCAAAATATGATGCCAATGAACAGAATACTTGTTGTATTTCACAGTAAGTTATGGGTTTCTAGTATTTTCCCCAATCTTGCCAGAGTCCAACACATTATTTTTTCTCTTTCTTTATCTTGGAACACGAAATGTGTAGAAACGATATGGAAGCCTCCTGTGTGTTATGTGCATGTATATGCATCCACATAATGACTAAACTATTAGAAGGTAAACCCCAAATTTGCAGGCTTTGGTTCCTTTCTCAGAACTCCTTTCCAGCATTTTCATGTCCCAGGAGCACCACTTATAAGAAGTGTGACTACAAAATCCCACTGGCCAAAAGCCAGTTTAGAGTGTCACAATTTTTGCTGGGAAAAGTGGTTCTGGCATTAAACTATAAATAATGAGTCTACTGAGAGCCAGACACAAACATCTGGGAATCTGTGTCCTATTGCTGGCATTCTGTGTGCTTCCCATGAAACATTCTTTTACCTTCAAATTTACACATCTCCAAAATGAATCACTTGATGCTTGGGTGTCAAGAAATCAAAGACCACTAAATTAATAATTTTGTATAAGTGTATATATGTATGTGAGTGTGTATATATATTCCATGTCTATGTGTTTCTAATTTAAAAAGTTAAAATGTGTAATTCCTCTCAGGATAGCTAAAACTCAATGGATACCCAAGTTCAGATTAATTCTGTAGGAAAAAAAGATCTAAACTTTGAAACCTCATCACTGAACATTTAAATCATTAAGTAAAACAAAAATATACCTTCCTTGACCCAAACTCTCACACATACATACACATAATTTGGAAAAATTTTCTACCCGGAAAATACAATAATTATTTCAGCTCTCACATTTAATGCACTTTTGGTAACACAATGTAAATTCAAGTTTGAAATATAAAACATAATTTTAAATCCTAAAAGCCCCCCAACAATAAGGTGTCTCTGATTTATACTAACAGGAGCTGGATAAGAAGGCATTTTAAGTCAAGATAGACTCCTTTCTGCCTGCCCCAAGAGAAGGACTGGATCAGCAGCAGCGTGTGGAGCGAGCCCGGTTCTGTCAGGGGTTGGCAGAGAGATGCACATATGGAGAGATGAACTGCTTCCCAACAAGATGTAAACATCAAGAGAATGAGATAGGCCATGTGGATATAAAGATATGGTGATACCTTTAGGATGTAGTTTCATTACTTTGTTTGATGTTCTATGAATTTCCAGATGTTCCATTTCAGATAAAATCACCTAAAGCCTTTGCCAAGCTAACTGGAATTAAGTCAAGGACCACAAAAGGCATAGTTCTACTTTACTAGGACAGGTAATTTAGACTTAAATATACTTAATTATGTTATGAATGAGAGACTCTCTGACCATGACCAGGAGTAGCCGTGCTTACCCTTGGCCTATGCGGAAGTAGCCAGGTGGACAGCCACACAGGTAGCCACCCTCAGTATTGGAACAGCCATAACTGCAGGGGGCCTGCGAAGAGCCACATTCATTGATGTCTTGGCATCCTCCACTGAACTGTTCGTACTGAAAGCCAGCAGGACACATGCACTTGTAGCTCCCCAGGGTGTTGTGACAGGAGGCTCCTCCACAAATGTGAGCGCTGAGGCATTCATTTTCATCTGTAGGGAAAATGAGAAGACACAGCATATGTGACACCGGTCAAAGATTTCTAATGAGGAGTCCGGGTTAGGCCACTTGCTGTCAAGCCAGCTGGCCCATGACTAGGCTCTCAGGAAGGCAAAGCAGGCAGAGGTGGCTGGGGTGGGAAGAGCAACAACAGAGAAAGATGTGAACATGGATGTGGCCTCTTGCTGTGTTGTGACTAAGCCGGGTGGATGAGGGCAAAGGCATCAGATGGAACATTAGAGGATGGCCATCTGGAGGACCAGCAGACTCCAGTTCTTATTGGAAGCCAAGGCTGCTCTCTTTGCTCCATGTGATCATATGGTAAAGGATTTGGGGCTGGTCGGAAGCTTCCATTTAAGGCTCGGGGTGGGAAGGAATTACATTTCTCTGCGCCCTTGCTTCAAAAGTGCCCAACAAGGCGACAGTTACCTCAACAACAGAGACCAACCATTTCTGAGAGGGTGCTTTCCCTTTTCTCCTTTTTCAGGATGTGCAGTTCTGGTAAGGGCTGATATCCTGCCTGAAGTGTCTGCCCCACTTGGACTTCCTTTTCAAAAATCTGCAAAAGCCCCCAAGTGCTTGTTCTGGGGGATGAATAGTACCTTCTGGTATGTCTGCTCCCATCTCTGAATGGGCCCCTCCTTATTCAAACCAGCCTCCTGCCCAGAGTGTCTGTGCCCTGTCTAAGGCTAAGTGTGGCTGGAAGAGATTCAGTGCAGACTTCATGAGCAATAATTGGGGAAAACCCACAGGAGAGACAGATGCTGCAGGACTGGCTCCGCACAGGGACCTGCCAAGTCTGATGGTGAGAAGCAGGAAAAAGAAATCTAAGTTTAAAAAAATCATCTTGAAGGGAGAAGACCATGAGTTTCTCATTATTTCTGATTTATAATTTTTGGAAATCTCCAATATATTTTTGTAGACCTGCCTTTTTAGGGCAGATTGGAAACTTGTTAGTAAGACATTTCTTAATCGCTGCAGCCCATTTTCAGGCACATGCTCATTTGAATATAGGAAGATTGGCCTTCTCTGCACTTAGCGAATACCTCCTTTCAAAGGAAGAGAGGAAATGAGCATTTATTAGGTACCTACTATATGACAGATAGGATACAGGTATCTCACATTCATTTACTTAGTCTTCCTAACAATCCGGAGAGACAGATTTAAAAAGTGGAGATCAGAAAGTTCTTCTGAGATCTCACAGCCAGCAAAAACAGCAGGGCAGAAATTCACAGCCAGGTCTGCTGGACTGTAGGAGCCAAGTGCTTTCCTTTATACTATGATGTCTCTCAAGAGATGCTCCCACGTTTAAACTGGTACTTCCTTTCTCCTATAATTAGTTTACCTTCTATGCTAAAGCAGATTCATTTATAAAGAAAGAAATTGTTTCTAAAAAAAAAAATCTTTCTTTTAAAAATTAGAAAACAGTGTATAAAAGTGATGGAGGGACAGGATGCTTGTTTGCATATATTTAGTATATATTCACATTTCCTTCCTTCCTTTCTCCTTCCCTTCTCCCTCCCTTCCTTCCTTTCTTCCTTCTCTCCTTCCCTCCTTCATCCTTTCCCTCCCTCCTTCTCTCCTTCCATCTCTCTTTCCTCCTTTCCTTCAGCTATAGGTCTGTGTCCTTAATGTTGCCTGTCTATAAGATCCTTTATGTCCAAAGACCTTCAATTCCTCACTCAAGGTCACTTAGGCTCCAGAATTTCTAAAATAGAAATAACTAAATATGCCATCATCTGTGTCCTTTTTTCCTTTTTTTAAATTGGTGATGAGGCGTGCAATAGACACTAAAGGAGACCACTGGCATCAAGTTCTATGCCTACATCAAAGAAAGAATGAAAAGTCAAGGGTATTTACTCCGGTGAAAAGAAAACCCCTGGGCCGGATGTCTTCTTCTTGCCCTGCCATGTCCACCTTTCACACTCTCCACTACAGGAGGCTCAGCCCCAGGAGGCTGGGCTGTGTGGAGCATCAGTGGGCTCTGCTTCCTTGTTCTCTACTACCTGTTGGGCTCAGCCATCTGTTTCCTGCCAGGACTCTGAATAATGAAACCCAAAAGGCTTGGGTATATAAGGAGGAAGGTCTGCCACTATATAGCTTAGATTTATTTGGGGGAGGGGGAAGAAATAGGACCAATGCTTAGAAGTTAGTGGGAGGAAAAGCTCATTCTTCATTTCTAAGTATTAAAAACATTTCTAAGTATTAAAGCTGTTTATACTTGATTGGGCTATCTTGGGAGAAAATGAGCACCCTTCTAAGTGTATGAAAGCTGAACTGGGATAAGTAGGGAGGTCAGACAGGAGTTTATATATTAGGAAAGGTGTTAGACTAGAGATCTAAGGTTCTTTTTAACTTTGAGCATCCATCAGTGTTACTATAAATATCCGTTGTGATTAGGAGCTCTACTCTTTTCTTTTGGATTATTTTTTTATTTTATTTTACTTCTCCCCCTTCCCTGAGAATTTAATAAAGTTTAAATTAAACTTGCTTATCTGGGTTGGAGAGGTGGGCTGAAGTGGAGCACAGATGAAGATAAGAAAAAGGCAAATGTTCGATGTTTACTTCTAGAAAGCAATGAAATCAGTGGTCCGGAAGCCCAAACCCAGCTATCTTGGAAGGGTGAACTTCTGTTTGCCCAAGAGTGTGGATCCAGAGAAGGCTGATCTTAGAGATTTGCTCTGCTCCTTGTGCATCTGGAGAAGTCATTCTAGCCCAAGGCAATGCTCATTCTGGATAACTCTAATTCTTGAGATTTATGAGGGCAATTTGGACTTTGGGGACATTAAGAACTCCAAGTCTCTTCTGACTTCTAATCAACTTATTTTTCCAGAATGTCCAGATAGCAGATGACCTTCATGGGGCCAAAGTAGAATCTCCAGACAAACAGAGCATGGCCTAGCCACCTCTACTATCCCTAGGCTGAAGGTTAAAAAACAGAAGGATCAGCTGAAGGAGTGACATGCCTTTCCTCTTTTATATTTTTTCCCCCACAGTTCCAGTTTTATTAAAGGGACCTACATGATGAGAACAGACAGGGTCATATACTGGGTATATAATAAACTCACTCTGGAAGTTTGTGACCAATGTCAGATTAAAATCAAAATAATTCCCCGAGCTGATAATGAACAAAGATATTTTTATTAAAAACAGACAGCTAGTCAGAGAGTTGTGCAGTCTAAACTCCAATAGGGCTGAGGCCACTTTAGTCAACCCCACACAAGTATACCTCTGCAAAACTGTGTCTTGTACAGAATCAAACTTGATGAGAGAGACAGTTTGGATAAACAAAAACCCACCAAATGTTTCTTCATTTGGTGAAGTGAACCATTTTTAATGAAGTGAACCATTGCCATGTGAAGCCTCACCCCAGAAGCAGTACAATGCTTTGAGTTTTTGCTAAATGAGGCTCTGTGTCCAATAGTGTGGCAACTAGAACAGGTCACCCAAGCATAAAGCTTGCAGCAGTGCTCTGTAGACACTTGCTGAATGAAAAAAAAAAAAAGTTAATGTGACACTTGAAAGGCAGCCCTAAACCAGGAAGTTAAGAACCTTGAGTTCTAGTTCCAGGTACTACACAAAAGAAACAGGCTAGGTAGCCAGGCTCGGTGGCTCAGCCTGTAATCTCGTGCCTTTGGGAGGCTGAGGTGAGTAGACTGCCTGAGCCCACGGGTTCAAGACCCGCCTGGGCAGCGAGACCTCATCTTTACAATAAATCAAAAATCAGCCTGGCATGGTAATGCATGCCTGCAATTTCGGCTACTCGGAAGGATTGCCGGAGCCCAGCAGGCGAGGCTGCGGTGGCCAGGAGTGGCCACTGCACTCCAGTCTGGGTGACGGAGTGAGACTCCAACTCAAAAAAAAAAAAAGAAAAAAGAAAAAAAGAAACAGGCTAGGACCTAGTCCTTTCCCTCCCTGGGCTTCTGGGTCCTCATCAGTAAAACAAAGGGCTTGAGCTAAATGGCCTCTGGTGACCCTCTAAACTCTCAGTGTTTTGATTCTTGATGAGCATGAAGAGTATTTTCCCATGACACTGTGGAATCAAAGATGACATCATATCAAGTTAATTAGAATCTGTCGATCTCCCTTAAGTATCTTTTTTTTTTTTTTTTGAGTTGGAGTCTTGCTCTGTCAGCCAGGCTGGAGTGAGGTGGCATGATCATGGCTCACTACAGCCTCAACCTCCTGGTCTCAGCCGATTCTTCTACCTCAGCCTCCCTAGTAGCTGGGACTACAGGTGTGCACCATCATACCTGGCTAATTTTTTTATTTTTTAATTTATCAACGAGGTCTTGCTATGATGCCTAGGTTGGTCTCAAATTCCTGAGCTCAAGCAATTTCCCAATCTTGGCCTCCCAAAGTGCTGGGATTACAGGCATGAGCCACTGTGCTCAGCCTCCTTTAATTATCAAAATAACTTAGCAATCCTGACAACACATGCTATGTCTGTACCCTGTCCCAGAGATGTGTAGAGTTGAACAGAACAACTTCCGGTCAAAAGTAGCTAAGAAGAGTCTCTGGCTGGCTGATATTTTTTCGGTCAGAAGTACAGCTTTGTTGACCCCTGATGTGAACAGAACTGGGGTTTCGGCTGATGACTGACAATGCAGGAGGGCAGGGGATGTTGGGAGTCCAGGAATTCTGGGCATTTCATTTTAGATGCTCTCAAAGCACCCATTATCATGATTTTTTTTTCTTAGTTTCTTATTTTGCAAAGACTGTTATTTTCTTCTGATTTCAACCAGGTTAGGATAATTTATTTCTATTTATTTATTTATTTATTTTGAGTTGGAGTCTTACACCGTCGCCCAGACTGGAGTGCAGTGGCATGCTCCTGGCCACTGCAGCCTCAACCTGCTGGGCTCCTGCAATCCTTCTGCCTCAGCCTTCCAAGTCGCAGGAACTACAGGCGCATGCTACCACGCCCGGCTAATTTTTGATTTACTGACAAGGTCTCACCAAGTTGCCCAGGTGGGTCTCGAACCTGCAGGCTCAGGCAGTCTACTCGCCTCAGCATCCCAAAGTACTGGGATTACAGGCTGAGCCACCGAGCCCGGCTGGGATAATTTAAAATGAGTATTTGTTGCTTTGATAACAAATTTAAGAGTTTTCAGAAAGAAAGTGCTTTTGCCTCATAGGAGCTGACAGACGTGCATCTCACAAGCGAGGAAAAGTTACTTGCCGACACATTGGTTCCACTGGTAGTGCTGGAGGTAGCCCTGAGGGCAGCTGCACCTGTAGCCCCCAATGATGTTCTGGCAGCCATGCTGGCAGCGGTGGTTACCCTCACATTCGTCCACATCTGAAAAAGAAGCAGAGTCGCTATGAAGCCGCGTCAATGCCTGTATGCCAGATGCTCTCTGAAGCCACATTTATCTGCATGCTAAGGCAAAGAGAGATTCTAATAAGAAATCTGACCCCTACAAAAATACTCTACCACCAAATACTTCAAGAATATCTATTTTGAAGCCATTGTTAAGCCCAAGGAGAAAAACATTCAGAGATCCCCGGTAAAGTCCACAAATAAAAATGAAGGAAATTAGTGCAAAGCACAAAGTAAACATGGGATAGCACTGTAAAGTATTTGTGTTTGCTTTTTTTTGTGCTAGAAGTAGAAACCAAAAGATGTCAATGTCATAATAAAACCCTAAATATATCATTTAAACTTTTAATTATATATTATCAGAAGAGGTAGTCCTCATATGTTTAGTCCACATTGAGAAGATCCCTTTATGGCTCTGGACTCAATAACCAAAAAATTAATGAATCAAATAGAAGAATCTGGTTATTTCTCTTGACTTAGTTATTCCCAATTAGATTAAATTAATAACTGAGCAGAAAAAGTCTTGATATCCTTAGGAAAGGCTTGTGTGATAGACACAGTCAAGCATGAGACAAAAGATGAATCTCGAAGCTGTGGGAGCCACACAAACAGATGTTCCCCCGTGCTCAGTTCTGGTATCTTGTAGAGGATGATGATTAAGGTGCTGACAGCCATGTGGGCCGCCTCTGCAAGGATCCACCTGCTGGATCACAGCTGAGGTGTCTACCCACCTTCACAGCTGGCGCCACTCTGATCAAGTGAGAATCCCCGCTGGCATTCACAGGTAAAGCTTCCAGGAGTGTTCTGGCAAATACCCTTCGACCCACATAGGTTGATGTCAGTGGTGCATTCGTTGTTATCTATGAGAAGCAGTGGAGAGAAGTGGGGGTTAAAATTCCTCAAAGCTCTCTTTGTATTGTTGAAAAGAAAGTAAGAAGGGTGACTCCGAAAAGGCAAAAATAAAACCAATAACTTTTCACATACGTGCATGTGTGTGTGTGTGTGTGTGCTCGTGCATATATATATAATTAGCTTATATATATACATATATATGTATATATATATTAGCTTTTGCTTTCTTATCCTAATAGCAGAAGAAATAACAAAATTGCTACATTCCATATAGGGTTTTACTCTCTCCCACGTACCAATGCAGGCAGTATGGTGTTGGGTAAATCCAGGAGGACATTTGCATGTGAAGCCACCAATGGTGTTAACACACAGGAATTGGCAGTTGTGTTGCTTGGTTGCACACTCATCAAGATCTAAAAGAAAAATGCAAGATGAGCCTCTTTGGGTCAAGCAGACAAGACAGGTTTAGAGAAGCCACTCTTATGGAGCAGCTGTAAGTTTTGATTTCTAAGTTTCAAATGACCATGGTCAGAACAAAGCCACAGCAAATGGCAAGGAGAACACCAGAGGATAAAGGTTTGAAAGATAAAACAAGTTTTCCATTTAGACATAATAATAATAATAATAATAATTTAAACCTTAAGAAAAAAAAATAGGAGAAAGAAACTTAAGTTGTAAGTGGATGTATGTATAAAAATTACAGTTGCTTTTTGCATTCTTAAAACCACATAATCTTAATGAAACATTTAATTTCCATTTTTCATCTTTTATCTGCTAGAAATTTTTGAGAACTTTCTGCCCTCACGGGTTAGAAAAATGTTGTTTGTTTTGTTTGTTACAGTTAATATACACAACGAAAGCCATTTTTGCTTAAATTTGGTTATTTATATGAATAAATATATGGCTCTGAGTTAAAGCCTCACACTGCTTAGAACTCACTGTGACCCACAGGTGCAGAAGTTCCATGTTTGAGAAGAACAAAGCTATGAGCAACTCCTTCATTTAAGATGGTGAGAGTTTGTAAGTAAGTCTCTCAACTTCTTCTCCTCATGATTACTAGGGTTTGTGCTGCACAGGAAGACCTCAGGCGATTGCCCCTTATGCCATCTTCTATTACATGCCTTTCAACTCTCCCTCTTTCAGCAGACACAGGAAAGAGGTGAAGGGCCCTGCTTCTCACCGTTTCTGCTTCTACTCCACCCCACCTTAACCTTCCCTTACCTTCTATTTTCTCCTTCAAATTTTCATGGCAGCACATGATGACTCTTGTTCTGCCATCTGGTGTACCTTTCCTTCTCCAAATCCCTCACTTTGAAAATTATCCTTAAATATGAGTCACTTGTGCCATGAGCTCAATATGACATTCTTATTGTAGACAAAGATGTTAACAGGAGTAAATTCACATCAAAAGAATTTTGTAAAGGATAACTTCTAGTTGAGAAGGGGTTTCTGGCTAGAGTTTTGCTGTTTCTTAATTCTGTGTGATATTCATATCTCAGGGAAGCTCCTGGAGGGCAATGACAGCCTTGTTTTGCAGAACAGAACTCTGCACATAGTAATTTAATTAATTAGGCACAGTGTTCTCTGGGATTTGTGGCACTGATTATTCTGAGGTATTCCAGGCTTTGCTGGAATCCTGGACTACATAGTTGTTGACTTGACAGACAGCATAAATGCACAAACAGAAAGCAGAGAGTCGGTAATCAATGCAGAAGCTGCTCCACTGGAGCCTTAGAGAGCTGGCCCTGCCATCTCTGAGACCCTCACATATGGTCCCCATGGATCTCATGGGCCATGCAGTGAAGACAGCTGCTCCCACTGGTTCTCCATGATCTCCCTGGCCTTAGCCTCCCTCCAACATAGGAGGTGGGTCTCTTGGAGGCACCAGTCCCAGGGAAGCACCTCTTGCCCACAAAGCAGGTCTTTCAGCTTGCCTATAGATTACTTACAGGCACAAGGAGTGCAGCAATGTGTCAGAAGCCAGGTGAGTGGGCAACGGCAAATTTTACTCTACCTTTGCAGCTTCTTCCATCCTCTTGCAGAATGTAGCCTTTCGGGCACGAGCACTGATAACTCCCTTCTGTGTTTTTGCAGATAAAATTGCAGGGTTTGGGAGCCTGGTTGCACTCATTCAGATCTATGATCAAAGAGAGAGTGTGACTGCCCATTTTTTAAAAAAGTCTATATCTACTGGATCTAACAAAAAATTCTAGTTTTGAGGAAAGAAGTAAACTTTGTAGTCTTTGATCATTATCCTGCATTTTCCTATGAAATTACACAGGCTTTAAAAATGTTTAGCTTTAGGAATCTCATTTTTTTTTTGGCCATAATCTATAATTTCCATTTGGAAATAAGCCATCAGAAATAGAGCACTTACCCACACAGGAAGTCCCAGTTATATCTGGAGTGTAGCCAGTTTTACAAAGGCAATGATATGATCCTCTGTCATTGACACATTCCCCATTTCGGCAAACGTCATGAATAACTTTGCATTCATCAATATCTGTAATTTAACAAATATAAATTGAAATGAGAAAGGATATTATAAAATGGACAACATTCATATGTAGGGGTCACTTCAGTATAAATATCAATAAATTGTGTTCCTATCTTATGGGCCTAAGAAATCAAACCAAAGAGATGAAATTTCAGATGTAGTGGTAGCTATACTGAAATGCAAATCAACAACTTCATTAGAATATAGTTGATAAAATAATCAGGTTAGAGCAAAGCTTTAAAAACAATGCTCTTCTCAGCCGGGCTCTGTGGCTCAGCCTGTGATCCCGTGCCTTTGGGAGGCTTAGGTGAGTGGATTGCCTGAGTCCGCGGGTTCGAGACCCGCCTGGGCAGTGAGACCTCATCTCTACAATAAATAAAAAAATCAGCCGGGCGTGGTAGCGTGCGCCTGTAATTCTGGCTCCTTGGAAGGCTGAGGCGGAAGGATCGCTGGAGCCCAGCAGGTCGAGGCTGCGGTGGCCGGGAGCGGCCACTGCACTCTAGTCTAGGTGACAGAGTGAGACTCCAACTCAAAAAACCCCCCAAAAAAATGGTCTTCTAAATGTATATTGTTTTTCTCTTCTGAGACCATAGATCAACCACCCCAGCTATACATATTTTGCTTCTTGCACCTTCTCATCCCATCAAGCTTACCTTCTGCTGATATCTCAAAAACTAATCACAGCAGGGAATCCTTTTGACAAGGAAACCTCCTTTACTCCCTTAATATTGCATGTTCAAAATAAGGAGGAAAGTTGGTTTTCTGTTTTTGTTTTTAACATTCTCTTTGTTGTTTTTGAAGCTAACTGTGAAAAAATCTCAATTTACACAATACTGGGAAAATTGAGTCAACTTTCCTACTCAGGCGAGGAGGAAAACTAAGCAGCCTCTGGGACGGATGAGAGGGGCTAGGTTTTTGCAGCTGCTAAGGAAAGGAGACCCTTACAGCTCCACACAGGGAGAAAGACTTGGTCAATATGCACCGTTGAGCATTAAAGTCACTGTCCTCCACATTTTGATCCACCTATCCTTACTGCTTGGTAAGGTGCCAATACTAGTAACCTCCCATGTAGGTGAACAGCTCTTGTTTGCCAAACGATCATTTATACCAACAGCTGGGTATGTCTGACCTTTACAGGTTTACTCTGAAGTGCAATTTAGCATGCCCTCAATGGTCTCAAAAAAATGAATCTTTTTTTTATCATCCCCTTTTTACATCTCCAAAACATCATAAACTGCATTTGGTCATTTCATCTTATCTGTCTAGTTCTAGTTTTTTATTTTTGATCCTACCCACTTCCATTATTTTGACTTCAGTCACATCTTCCTAACATTAGCACAAATCTTTCTTAACCTCCTTTTTCCTTCACTTCCAATTTTCTCCCAAAGAGTTAAAAAAAAAAAAAAAAGAACCTAAAAACCAAGTCTCTCCTTTTTCTTACTCCTTTTATGAACTAAAAACCAATTGCAGTTACTGTAGATAGACATAGGGGTCATGCTAGTGATAGCCTAGAAGTCTTCAGAGTAGACTCGAATACCTCAACAGCCTCCTCAGCACTATCTAGTTAAAGCAGTTTGCGCTTTTCCAGATGCAATTGTGTTTCATTGCCAGAATATCAGCATTATTTATACTTCTTTTATGCAATATATTTTAGCTAACTTTAAGAATTAAGCTACATTTTGGTGGACTGACTTTGGAATTTAATGATTATTTATTTCAATGTTTATCTAAAAAATTAAAAAAACTATATTCTGAGTAACTAACGACTAACTTATAGCAAACTTCTATTTAAAATATTGAGGATTCCCTGGAATGCAGAGGCAGGGACCCACAACTTGATCAAGTGAACCAAAGGCACTTTGGCAACATGGCCTTGAATGTTTAAAACACCATAATAGAGGGTTTTATTTTTTGAGTTGAATTACACTGGCGTATAGTGGCATGATCATGATGACCATGGCTCATGGCAGCCTCGACTTCTGGGCTCAGGTGAGCGATCCTTCCACTTCAGCATCCTAAGTAGCCAGCATGATGGCGAATGTCTGTAGTCCCAATTTATTTTTTAAATTTTTTGTAGAGATAAGATTTCACTATGTTGTCCAGGTGGTCTCGAACTCCTGGAATCAAGCAATTTGCCTCTCTTGGCCTCCCAAAGTGCTGGGATTACAGACATGAGCCACTGTGCCTAGCCTCATAATGAAGAATTTTTATTGATCTCAGCCGTGTAACTCAATCTAGGAATACTCTGTAGGTCCCATATTCTCATCTGTCTCTCATAGAAAAACAAATAGATACCCTGAAGGTATTTTTGGACCATAAAGTACCCCTCCATTGGCCACAAATCAAAACAAAATTAAGTACCTGCTCCGTTGGTCATGAATCCTCGGCCATGGGGGCAGAGTTTCTTAAAAGCCACGGTGCCCTGGAAAGGGCATATCTCACAGTGGGGACCCCAGCCTCTCCCTCCATCACAGCAGCATTCAGACTTGGTGACGGGGTTCCTGTTGCTGGAGCCAATTTGACACATGTTTTGTAGCACCTCTGTGAAGCAGTACCCTTCTCGGTTGTCTGGAAGGGACATTATATGGCAAAAAACATTTTAGGAAATTTTATGGGCACAACAGGGTATTAAGAATTTGGTCAGATATAAAAACCAAAAAGGATGTAACACTTTACCCTGTGTGAGAAGAAGCGAGAAGGGAAAGCTGGAGACAGCAGGAAAAGAGAAAGGCTGACGTCTGAGGGAAACAAATAAGAAATTCAGTAAGTAGGCAGAAAGACATTGGTCTAGACAAGCTCATAACTCTATCTGCTCCCAGAAATAAGGGGCAATAGCCATGCTATAGAGAGAGGGGCAGAGAAACATACTGAGATGGATCCTGATTACCAAGGGCTAAAAAGGGCAGCCAGGAAAGAAATTCCAAACAAGTGATTCAGTGATACAATTAGCAAAGGAAGAATTTAGCTGCAGGGTGGTGCTAAGCCCAATGGACAATCACAGTTACTAAGTCATCTCCAAAATATGAACATTTTTAATGCTTCCTCAAATTTTGACATTTTCTTTAATTTCAACTAAGAGATATGGGTTTCCAGCACCCCAGGGTGGAGGTGGAGGTTACGGAAGCATGCTGCTGACTGGACTCACCGAGGCACTCATCCTGGGTGGGACTGGCAGTGAACCCATCGTTGCACTCACAGGTGTAGCTCCCACGGGTGTTGAGGCAGCGCCCGTTCTCACAGATCCCTGGCTTGGTTTGACATTCATTCTCATCTGTTTGGTTTCATTGAAGGACCAAAAACAAAAACAGTCACCTGACTATCTTATAGAAAGATAGCCTTCCTGCCTGCCTGCCTGCCTTCCTTCCTTCTTCCCTCCCTCCCACTCTCCCTTCTTCCTTCCTTCCTTCTCTTCTCCCTTCTTCCTTCCTTTTCTCCCTCCTTCCCTTCCTTTTTCCCTCCCTCCCTCCTTCTGTCCCTCCCTCTTTCTGTCCCTCCCTCTTTCTCTCCTTCCTTCCTTCTTTCCTTCCTTTCTTCCTTCCTTCCTTCCTTCCTTCCTTCCTTCGTTCCTTCCTTCCTTCCTTCGTTCCTTCCTTCCTTCCTTCCTTCCTTCCTTCCTTCCTTCCTTCCTTCCCCCTCTCTTCCTTCCCTCCCTCCCTCCCTCCCTCCTTTTTTTTATCCCCCCCGCCTTTCCGTTCCTCTCCCCCTCCCTTCCCTTCCTTCCTAACATAGTTTGTGAATAGCTAACCTCTTCGCATATTCAAAATTCAAAAGGTATAAAAAGGTATTCAGCAAAAGTCTGCCCTTCCTTTCCTGTTTCCCAGCCACCAAACACCCCTCCTGAGAGGCAACCAATGCTGTGAGCAATTTCTAATGTCTCTTTCCAGGGATGGATTATACATATTAAAGGTAATATATACATACTTGTATGTATATATATATGTGTGTGTATGTGTGTACACTTCTGCTTTTTTAAAAACATAACTGATATCATTTTATATACTTAAACATATATGGTAGCATTTTATGTACACTTACATTTTTCACTTAATAAAATGTACATCTTTTTATATCAGTACATAAAGATGACTCCCAAAGGATTATTTCAAGTGAAGGGAAAAAAAATTGAAAGATCAACATGTTAAACAAATATAATACTTTATTGGAATAATATCTGTAATGGTCAGTATTGACCTGGGAGAGTTTGTCTAGACTAATCTTCAAATTCAATATAGGTTATGTTTATTATAATATTTAAACAATATTAAGAAATAATAAACTATAATTCAGTTTCCTAGGTTTTAAAAAATTAAAATATCTAGAGATTCTTAGAATTATCTGATGATTTGAAAGTAGTTCAGAGTCCCTGAGATGAAGATCTCACTAGGAGAGGCAGAGTGTTGGAAGGTGACATCCGGAGCAATGTTAAAATAGATTAAAATCCCAGTGGTCATGCCACCCCCAGACCAATTAAATCAGAATATCAGAGGTTGGAACCAAGCTCCCCAAGTGATTCCCATGTGCAGCTGAGGTTTAGAGACACTGATCCAGCAGGATCTCTGTGTGTTCTTTAATCCAGATCCTTTTTTTCCTGTGCTTTTTAAAGTCTGCTCTTTAGGTATTGTTTCAATCTATATCTTACAGAGTAAGGGCAAATGAGATTCTTAATTTTCTTGACTGACCAAGCATAAAATATACTTCCAGATGTCATTCACTTTTAAAAGGGATGAGGATACAATGTGGGGATTTTCTATTAATTTATTTCTGTAATTATCATCTAAGCAGAGATCAGGAAACGTTTCTGCAAGGGCCAGACAGTAAATATTTTAGGCCTTGTGGGACATATGGTCTCTGTTGCAACAACTTGGCACATGCTTCCTATGGTATGAAAGCATCCATGGACAATATATAAATAAAACTTTATTTATAAAAATGGATGATGGGCTGGCAGGCTGGAATTGGCCTGTGGGCTGTGGTAGTTTGTAAACCCCTGGTCTAAAGCTGTAGTTCTCAATGCTGGATCCATGTTAGAATCAGTGGAGGCACTTTAAAAAATACCAGTGCCTGGACCCCACTCTAGACAAGAACAAATTTTTCTGGTGGTAGATCCCACTGGTTTAGAGAAACTCCTGGTTCAGAGGAACCTGGCATTTGTACTCAATGTCAGGGCACAGTAGCAAAGTTGAATCAACAGGAAAGCATTCCAGTGTGGTGGAGATAACTGACCCCCAAATCAACAAAGACTCCTGTGCTGACTGAAGAATAAAGGAAGGGAGAAGAAGAAAGGCATGAGGTTTCAATCCTGGCAGCAAATGGGTCAAGAAAGTAGGGAAAGGCCACCTCAGAGGGAGAAGTGACATGAGGTAAGAGAGGCAAAATGGCTCTGGCTAAGAACACACTGCCACAAGGACTCAGCACCCTGGTTCCTTTTGTCTGTCATCATTTCTGACAACCTAAACTTCTTCCCCAGAAATCCTCTTACCTATGCAGCCTTCTCCATCGGGTCTCCGCTGGTACCCGGGTCCACAGATGCACATGTATGTGCCAATGAGGTTCTTGCATTCCATTTGTTTTTCAGTACAGTCGTGTTTTCCCTCTTCACATTCATCCTCGTCTGTAAAAAAAAGTGTCCAGTCACTGATTTGTCAAAGAAGCTGCCTTTACCTGTCTTGTAAACATAAAATGGTAGCAAGTAACCCATTTTCATCTATGTTATTTCAGTATTGGTCTTACGGTCTTTTGGTTTGTTGAGTGTTGAGCCCCTCAAGGAAGCAAAAGGAGTCTCCTAACCACCTTTGCACTTGAAGAAATTGCTCCCTAACCAACTGATTACCTCTTCAAGAAACATAATTCTAATCATGGCTTTCTTCTGTTTCCTTCCTTTACTTCTTATATTCCTTATTCAAAGCATAATTTCTAATTATTTTTGGCTAATTGGACTAAAAATACCTTATGTAATTATAATATAATGAATATACATAATATGATAATTATAACAGCATTGTAATTATAATACATGATAATATAATAATTATAACAGTACTACCATCATAACTTAGAATAATAAACCAAAGCTTCCATTATTCAATAATTAGAATACAACACAGTAAATAATAATATATTATTTTAATATGATAATGTTAATAAATATGACATAATATTAGAATAACTATTACAGTTGGGCGCAGTAGCTCAAGTCTGTAATCCCAGCACATTGGGAGGCTGAGGAGAGAGGATTTCCTGAGCCCGTGTGTTTGAGACCAGCCTGGGCAACATGCTGAGACCTTATCTCTACAATGAATAAAAAAATTAGCCAGGTGTGGCAGCGCACGCCTGTAGTTCCAGCTACTTAGAAGACTGAGGCGAAAGGATTGCCAGAGCCCAGCAGGTCGACGCGGGGGTGGCTATGAGCATACCACTGCACTCCAACCTGGGCACTGGAGTGAGACTCCAATTCAAAAAATATATATACATGTATATATAATAAAAGCTTTGGTTTTTATACTTTCATGAAAAGTCAAGCACCAGAAGTATCTTATTCTCTACCGGTTTTTCCTTCATCTCCTTTTTTCTGGGGTCAGTTGGGTCTTCTCAATCTTTACTTCCTGCCCTACTGCATTTCCTTTTCTCCTTATTATTCCCTTTTACATGCTCTGAGCTAAGAAACTTAGAATTTATACTAATGTGATGAAGCGCTCTCACTTAGGAAATCTCCTCACCCTCAAGCAAAATTGTATTTAAATAGCCATCTTGAGCGAACAGGTATCTGTCTGCTCATTGAAGATCTTGGGAGAAACAAATCAGAGGTCTTTAAGGACAAACTCTATGATTACCCAAGTTCGTATTATAGAGCCCAGTCCAGGGCTTTGGAAATTGCAGGTATTCAGTAGGCATTTTTAATGGAAAGGGTTTAACTAAAGTAGATTTCATGTGCTACCCCATTCTTGAAACAAAATATTCTTTAGTCAGGGAGATTTCCTCCTTTTGTGTTCTCAGGGCATTTTGTATATAGGAGCACCACATTTTGTATATATAACCACTACAGCATTTATCACACTGATTATGATATTTTATTTGTATCTATTTCAATCTCTTCATATTGAGCTTTCTGAATGTGTGGAAACATCTTTTTTCTCCCCCTTACATCTTCACATCTGGTAGAAAGACTGGCATGTTGTGGGCATGCAATTCACAATGAGAACTAATAAAGGGCCTGCAGTGTAGCCCTTAAGTCACCTTGATGATACTTCAAGCTACAATTTAGAGGAAAACGTGGCAGTGACAACCCCCATATTTTCCACAGACTACATATGTTTCCCTATTAATGGAAGCTTTGGACATGTCCCGTTATGGATAGAGTTAGATCTTCCTGGCTGAGATGACCTTGAATATGATGTCTCACCTTTGCACATCCTCCTGTCTTCTCTCAGAACATATCCAGCAGGACATTTGCATTCATATGATCCATAAGTGTTTACACACCGGAAAGCACAGAGCAGAGGATTCTGGGCACATTCATTTATATCTGCAGCAGAAGGTAGTAGGAAAATAATGGATCATGGACATCAACAACAAAAAAAGAATCTACTTTTACCAAAAGTTGAAATGCTCCATTGTCATAAACACAGATGAACCAAGTAGTTTCTGATTTTAGGAAATTATAAAATGATTGGGTAGTTTATATCTTGTATAAGTAGGGTGACTATACAACCTGGTTCTCTCAACACAGTCCTGACTTATGCTTGCTGTCTCGGTATAATTATTATAATTACTCATCGATGGATGAGAAGTTATAGGTCACTCTACATATAGAGGATTTTTCATAAATTCTGGTTTTGAGGGTTCAGGTTGACCATTTGCTACTTCTTATATTTATAAGTCTTGAGAATCAGACCCCATTCAGCCCAAACATCTGTGGTAAGAACAGAAGCTGACCCCTCCAATATTGTTCACCACTTCCCCTTCCCTAGCCAAAGACGCTCCCAAGAAATAACTGACTCTTCTGCCCAAGCAAATCATTTTACACTTACAGAGATACTTAATTCAAGCCTTAAATAGATGAGAACAACTTTACCATTAGTGGGCAAAACTCTGTGAATTACAGAGTTTGGAACCATCAGAATGAATTTTGGAAAAGCAGGGTTAAAGCAGACCATCTCAACTATGATGTTGTTCCTCAAGGCCAGTGGTGCTGACTGAGAACATGAGTGGGTGTCTAGATTATGACTTAGTCACAACCTCTAAAGATTCACCAACAACTCTGACAATGGTGTGGATGAGTCATATCTCTGATAAAGAGCTCATTTTGATACCAACTTTATCTTCTACTTTCACTTCTCCTTCATTCTCTTCTTTGGCCAGTGAATCTCAACTCGAGAATGTATCAGATCACCTAGAGGGCTGCTGGGCCCCACTCCACTCTTAAAAGTTTTCTGATTCAGGAGGTCTTGCATAAGGCCAAGGTAAGCCTGAAAATGTGCATTTCTATTTCTAACAAGTTCCCAGGAGATTCTGGGGCAGCTAGTTTAGGGACTACCCTTTGAGTGTCACTGTTCTAGACATTCCTTCCTTTTTTCCATCTTTCCATAACATTCTACCAGGTTTAATAATGGACAGCTTTCAGAATTTATATAGAATAAGGGACCTCTTTTGTTGTGATTGCCTCCAGATGGCTACAGGATGTTGGTAGTTATCTCAGTGTGCAGATAGTTTTATGACTAGAAAAGAAGAGAAAAAGAGAAAAGAAAAAGAAAGGGAGCATAGGAGATGAAGAGGAAGAAGGGGAAAATAGAAAATAAGAAAGATGGTTGTAAATAAGACAAGAGTTGTATCCAAATATAAGCAATAGAAGACAACAACAAGAACTCTGTGATATACAGTGTAACTTGCGCCATGAGTCAACTACATCTTTCTTGGATACTTTATGCAGAGAGGTTACACAGGGAAGAAATGATGGAATGGTCCATCAGGGTCAGATATTCTTTATTCTATACACCCTGAGTGGTATTTAATACTAAAACTTGTAATCACCAACTGTTCCCATGATCAGTAAATGTAACTAACTGTTCTGTGTTTAAGAGGCTTACCTTCACATGTCATCATGGGACCAGGTTCAAATCCCTCCTCACAGGTGCATTCAAAACCTCCAATCACATTCTTGCATGTTCCATTTCCACAAGGATTGCCCACAGAGCATTCATCAGTATCTGCAAGTGACCAGGAGTATATCCAAAACATGATTAATTGAGATAAAGTAGACTTGGACTCAGATAATACCTCTCATTCTATCAGAGTACTTTGATCTGTAATGTCTTTGTCAATTCTCATTCTGTTTTTTCAAGAAAGGAGTGCACAGGAAATTGGACTTGCTGTGAAATTCGACTTGCTCAGTGACAGTGAAGGTGACAGCATTGGGATGTCTAGTCCTTGCAGTGTTCATCTTCATAAGCTCCTCCAGCCTCCCACATTATGAAGAAGTAAATTTTCACCAGGAGTAGATACTTTAAGGGTTAAAACAAGCCTCCTATCACCAGTGAAAAGTTTCTGGTTGTTTAAAGCTAGAAATACATTTCCAGTTTGGCCTTACATTACATCACTCTCCAAGAAGCCTTAAACGTGATGGATTTTTGCCAGATATAAAATAGAAGACTAAACTTATGCGAAATAAAAGACCAGAGGTTAAGAAAAATTAATATACTGAATAAAATCAAGATTCAAGTAGATTTAGTTGAAACCAGATGGTGTACATTAGGCAGAGGAAAGACTATAGAAATATGTTTAGGTTATGATCTCTCTAAACCACCATGAAGAGAGAACAAATCTTATCAAGGATATATATATACATATATAGAAGGCATATACATATATATATGTCTTCTAACCCATCCACCTAGAATACTCACTGTTCTTATTCTGACACACAACCCCACATTCCTTGGGGAGAATACCTTCCTTTGAGAAAGAAAAAATTTTGAGAAATAACATTGTTATTTTAACTATCTAAGGCACAGAAGAGTAATGACTGTTGTCAAGGGTAACATCTTATGCTGAAGTTCTGAAGTCAGAAAGTGAAGGTGGTAGAGAGATCCTAGGCAGGAAGGCTCATTTTGTACGTACATAGTAGCACTAACTGAAGATTCCAAAGGGAAAACACTAACGAATTTGCTTTTGTCCTACTATTAAATCACATTTCACTGTCAAAAATATTATTTTGCCTCCCAGGTAATAAAAATCCCAGTATCACTGATTTTTAGAGCTGCAAGGGTAATTAGTTATAAATTAGTTTATTTGCATAACATTAAATCCAAAGGTCTAGAAAGGTTAAAGAACTTGCTTAAACTCCCACAGTCATAGCTGGGGCTGAAATCCTCACACCTTGATTTTCTGTATGGAAAGAGCACTTTCTGATCTACCCAGACAAACCTTCAGCATTTATTGCAATTTTTTTTTTTTTTTTTGAGTTGGAGTCTCACTCTGTCACCCAGACTGGAGGGCAGTGGCTGCTCCCGGCCACCGCAGCCTCGACCTGCTGGGCTCTGGCAATCCTTCTGTCTCAGCCTTCCAAGTAGCCGGAATTATAGGCATGCGCTACCACACCAGGCTGATTTTTTGATTTATTGTAGAGATGCGGTCTTGCTGCCCAGGCGGGTCTCGAACCTGTGGGCTCAGGCAATCCACTCACCTCAGCCTCCCAAAGTCGCGAGATTACAGGCTGAGCCACCGAGCCCGGCTATTGCAATATTAATGAAGTTATATTTAATTGCTTTCCAATTTTTAGATAACTAAAGTAATACTTGCATTTAACTTGGAGTTAGTGTTGATTTGGGGCAAAGGCCAGTTCTTTGAAATTTTAATAAGTAGGTTAAAACAAGAGGGATTTATACTGGGTATATAGACTTTCTTGGTACTAAATGTAATAAAACCCAGATAAATTTTTTACTTTCTAATAGAATAAGCTTATGATCATTAACAATATTTTTTAAAAATTCACAAAGATTTTCATGAAGATGTTGTCCTTTCTAGTATTTCTTCTAACGTGTTCAGTGGCTGCCTTCACCATTACACTGTAGGGTCCAGGCAAAAAAGGACCTTGTCTGCCTGGTTCACTACCACTGCTTCAGAGCCTAGAACAGTGCCTGGCACCTAGTGGGGACTCAGCTCGTATTCTAAATGAATGATACATAAACAAATGGACAAAACTTACATAAGTCCCATTTTGGAACTTATACTTACTAATGTGAATGTGTACAGTTTAAATTCTAATTTGTAAAATGCTAGTGGAAGAAACCAACTTATGACTCACCCACGCACTCGTTCCCCTCTAGAATATAACCAAAGGGACACTCGCAGCGATAGGAGCCGTCTGTATTGATGCACTGCCCATGTTTACAGACATCGGGTTCTTTGCATTCATCCATATCTTAAGCAAGGAGGAAAAAAATATCGTGAATAACAAGGTACTATTTTTTAAAAAACAAAGGTAAGTTATCATTTCCCCATTTAATCAAGTGAATATCTAATATTATGATAAAATAATTGTTATCTAACTGAAATGAAGAAGTAGAGCCTAATTTTTCAAGATAGAATTAAGAACAACTGGAAAAAGAGTAAAGAAAAGGCTGATTGAGAATACTGAGAAATGCTGAAAATTCAGCACAGGCTACTGACCAACTGCAGAATCGTCAGGTCCTACGATGATCCCACTTCCATAGGGACAGATCTGGCGGAAGGCCTCTGCAGTGGAGACACACACTCATTAACAGACAGACCAAGCATTTTTGTGGCCCAAATCGCCACATGCTGCACATATTGATAAGTGATGAATAAGACAAGCCCAGAAGCCAGAGGAAGTTAACAAGACTCCCAAAGATATTGTGTCTATTCCTTGGGCATCTCTGATTCACAACATAATTAAAAAGAAAACAACTACCTAGCTCCCAAGATAAAATAATTTTTAATGGCATTCTAATTAGACTTACAATTGAGTCAAGTTGTCTTAGTGTCTTTAAGGTCTCCAATCGTACTTGAGTCAAGGCCTGTCTACCTTACATGGCCCAAAGACAAACACAGATGACAGACATACCATCAGGCTCAGTGGGGCACAGCTCGCAGGGATCTCCCCAGCCTTCTCCCTTCAATGCACAGCAGCACTCCTGCTTGGAGTGATTTCTGGATTTGGGTGATGAGCACTTCCCTCCTTCAAACTTGGCATAACAGTAGCTCATGCGTAAATCTGCAGCATAAATTTATGATACCCTTCAGTTGCTTTCCTACTAAATCTTTATTCTACAACAGTGAATAAAAATCTATCCACCACGTAAAATATGTCCTCCTCTCATTACCACAGCAATAACCCTTAAGCGATCCTAATAGTATCTGAGCTGAGATGGTTCAAGCCCTGAGTAACTTTTGTAGTGAGATCTGATTAAACCTCTGTGATCTTAAGTTGATTACTTCTCATTTTAACCACAATTTCAAAACAAGCTGATGTGAATAATAAAATCCAACACAGTCAGTTTTCAAAACTGACATGTGCCAGTGACGTCAGGATTGGAATGTCTGGAGAGAATCATTCACAGCATCCTCTCATTGACACTCTGCTTGCATGTGCTTTGTATAAGGTTTAGTGAACACACTAGAGTAAGGAACACCTCCTAGTTCCAACAGTGACTTGTGACATCACACTTTGCTGTTTATTCTGTGTTCCCTAAGCCCTAGAACCAAAATATAACCCCAGAACACAGGCAAAGAGCAAATACAGAAGCGGTAACTTTGTAGACTGGCAAAAATACAATAAGTGGGTCAGTCACTAAAGCAGCTACTCATAAAGGTGCTGAGTGCAAAATGCAGGTGGGGCTTTTTGCAGATTTTACAAACACATACACACACACACACAGAGCCAATGTTAAATGTAAACAGAAGCCTGTTTAGCTTAACAGAGAAAGTAAAGGAAAGAGGAGGACAGGGCTGTGGGTGGATAAGAATAGAACATTTCTTTAATATTGATTATTGTTTGGTGACTCCAACAAGGAAAATGGAATCTATTTCCTACAAAGTGGTCCAACATTGCTTGACATAATTTTGGAAACTGACTTTGCCATTTCTTATAGAACAAATTGGGTGACTCTAAAAAGTGAGATCATTCAGGGGTCTGGAGTGTGTTTGCCTTCAAACTTGACTTCTAAAGCCTTGTAAAACTCCTCTCTCATTACACAGAGGCTAAAATCTCCAGGTTTTAAAGAAATACTTTCGTATCTATTTCGTACGACTCTTCTTTCTTTATGTCTACCCAGCTCTGCCTTTTTCATTCTCTCCTATCACTATTTCTCAGTGGCAGGAAGCATAATATCATAACCACCTAAGCATGTCTGTTAAAACAATTTCAGCAGCCTTTATCTCATGACAAAGGAGATAATGTAAGGATAACAGAGTTGCCTAAGATAATCATGAATTGAAGTTTAAAATCTCTCTCTATTATATTTACCAAGTCCTATATGTCAACTTCAGTTAGCTTCCCCAGTGAACTTGCTCAACACTTCATGGCTACCAACTCATCCAGGTAAATCATCGCTCTAGTGTCTATTGCATTTCCCCACTTGTTGTGACTAGGATCTGGCACACACCTTTCAGTGAAGTATCCTTCTGAAGGTCAAGAGCAATAGAAGTCAGTCCTTGCCCTGCAGTCTATCAATGTGTGCTTGGTTGAGAAACTTCAAGATTTAACAAATTTTTGTTTCTTGGAGGACACCTTTATCCCCAGTTCTTGTCATGTACAGTGTTTTGCACTTATCGGTCTTGTTTTTATTATTTATACCTAATCTGTCTTAAGATGCGTGACTACTCACAAACATATCTCAACAAATAAAACCAAACTCTCGCCTTTTTTTTCCAGTCTATAGTGTTTCTTTTAAACCTAGATACAAGCATGTTCTAATATTGGTGTGTTAAAATTCTCATTCTCCTTTTCTTTAAATGCTGACCTAGTTCCAGACCCCAGTTCTATCTCCTCCCACCATTCCACCCTACCCTACCCCACAAATCTTGGCATTATACAGAGACTCAAATGCATGAAATTTTGAGTCAGCCTAAGTAACAAATTTCCCTTCATTGAACTTTGCAAATGGGAGTGGTTCGTTTACACCTGTGGTCTTCAGGGCCAGGATCTGTCCACCTGAGTTCCATGGCATTTGTTCCTTTAAAAACATTATCCATGGCTCTGTGGAATGTTCTCATTCCATGGGCAACAGAAGTCTAACTCCTAATTTGTCATCTTACAAGAAAAACCCAGCTCTCAATTTCCTGGCTCCAGCAAAACCTGTACTCTGTGGGAGATTTACTTTTGCTTATGGTGATTCTCTAGAATTGGTTTATTAATCAAGGGTGCCTTGTGTTGGGAAAGAGAGCTGTGCCTGCCCACATACTTCAACTAGGACTCGCTGGGATGCCTGTTTACCAGTCCATCTGCAAAGAGCCCTTAATGACCTCTAAAATTTCATCAGAACTACAAAAGTCACTTTCCCTGCTTGCATTCCTTAGTCCTGGCTCTGCCTCCTGGAGCTGAGCATGTGGCAGGGCTGTTCACAGCTGGGCTGATTCTTCCTGCAGTGTTAGCTTGCTCTGTGACAGGCCAGTGCAAATTGAATTAATAGCCTATGAGTTTCCTCTGGCCTGCCACATCGGCAGATTCACACCTGGTTTCTCACTGCTTTCCTTCCAAACTCAGGCCAAGCCAAAAGCACACAAAAACAAGAGAGTAGGAGTTAGAATGTATCTGGTTGGTCTGCACCATGCAGAATATCTGTTTGAATCAAGTACTACCCTGAAACTCACATAAGCTACCTACAAGTTGAAACCAACCAGAGAATTCTCAACTCTCCCCTTCAAACTTCCAAAATAACCAGTTGGGACATAAACAGTTAATGGGACAATTCGAATAACACTAATCAGAGTCTACAAAGGACTCAGAAACTAACAAAGCTTTGTCACATACTCAGTAAGGCTGGTTGGGCAGGTAACACATATTGTTTAAAATGAGGAAACTGAACTTTTGAAAGATTAAATTACTTGCTCTAGGCTAAAATCAAAACTGGGACCCCAAATCCAATTTTTGGAATCTTAAATGATATCTAATGCCTCCTCCATAGTTCCACACACAAAACCCAACAACCAAAAAAATCCTCAATCTAACACCAAAATAACAACAATAACAACTAAACAACAAAAAACGCTGGTAGAAAAACAAAAAAAAACAAACAAACAAAAAATGTGTTTGATCCATCCCTCTACCTCCTAATTCATTAAAATAGTTTGTATATGTAGATAGCCATACACAACTATATTGTTTAGAAAGTCTAAATAGTTTTCTGGGACTTAAGTACACACTGTCATGCTGAAATTTGGGCTCCTTCTGATTTTTTTTAAATTGGAAAATAAACTGGCAAACCCTTGAAAATCTTTACTGAAACAGTTGACAAGTATTCTTCCTGAAAATGGACTATGGTCCAGCAAGAACCCTGGACAGTTTAAATTTATTTTTTTCTTAGAGAACTTGTGGTAGAAGGGATGGGTACCATAGCCTGGGGACATAAGGTTAAATATAAAAGGGCTCATATTTTGTAAGTTACTTCTTCAGAGGCAGGGAATATGTAGCTTTGCTGTTTCAGTGGCTCATGGTGATCTCTTACTGATGGGCCTATCGACATTTGTGTTCTCAGGGGAAAAGATAGGTTTAAGTGCCAGGACAGTTGTATAAGCAACCATAACCTGATGGATGAGTTTTTAACCTTAAAAGTAAAAATGAACCTTCTGACATATGGTTATCATTAGACCTCTGGGTAAATAAAAACTCTCCATTTTCCTGTTTACAAAGAATCAGGTTTTGATATGTTTAAAAAATAAGACCACAACAAATAAATACAGAGTAACGAAAGTCCAAAGTCTTCAAAGGCACTTACCTTGGCACCTTCTTCCAGTGGAGGACAAGGAGAACCCTTCTGGACACAGACATTTGAAGCTGCCTTCAGTGTTACTGCATGTGCCCAGGGCACAAATTTCTGGCTCTTCAACACATTCATCAATATCTAAAAGAATTATATGTGTCAAACAAAGTCAAACCTCAGTGGAAACACCATCAAGTACCCAGTACAAATGGGAAGTACAAAGTGCAACTGAGTTTCCAAACTCTTACAATAATAAAGATATTTTTCTGATCATAATACTATGGTCTGAACTTTTAAGTTGCAATGACTTTTTAAAATTAGTTTTGAAAGTTCTTGATGTAAAAATGGAATCTGAAAGCATTTTCTAAGGGATACAATGACAAATCTCTCTTACCCAGACTGAATGGCTTGGCTAATTAGAAAAGTAAGAGTAATTTCATACCAGCCTAGGCTAGGAAAGAAGCAAGAAAATCCAGAGTCCACTTCACCATTGTACAGTAAGCAAAAACGCCAAGATTTTAAGCATGTTGGCAAACAGTCACTCAATGTGAGATCTGGGCCATTGAATGAAATTATTTCCTTCCATCTATCCACAGAGTTTCTCTTAATACTCCATCCCATAGCCAGCCCTAAAGATAAATTGTATATGAATATTAATACTTATAATTATAATCCTATGTAGCATAAACTAAAGATATCACAGAAGGTGAGGCTTCTAACTCTGATTTGTAGAGTTAGGTACAAAACACCTTTCTCATATAAATTTCTTTCATCATATAGATAATTGGAGCCTGATACATTCAGAGCTGTGGCATATTTTATTATATTAATACATCTTAGCTCCTATACAGAGGTGATTAAGAGTGGTCTATGGTGAAGTTTGAATGGTTTGGGTAAACATATGTACTAATTTGCCTGGGAGAGTGCTAGCTTATATAAGCCTGGGTGCCTGACTTCATTGATACTAGAGCCCTTTTTCACTTTCAAAATTGTATTGCTTTGCTCAGTAAAATATATGATCACCCTGCTTATGGAAAAACTATGGCTACTCCATACTATTCCAACAAGCATACTCATCTTTTCCCCTGAATTTCAGCAGGAATTTGTAGTGAACAGAGATAGGTATGAATTCTGAACCACATTACTTTTATGGAAATAAATTTTTTTCTCCAACAAAACAGAAAATCTCTCTTGTATTTTGGGTCTTTTTAGTCTCACATTTGTGCTAAGAGTTCTACCCACACTGAAATGCATTTTCATTACATAATCTATTCCCCAGTGATCCAACTAAGGAAAAGTTAAGAAATCAACTCCATTATTTTGATTTAATATTGTTAATACCACACAATAGATATTCTAGAAATGTGCTATGCAAAGTGATTGTCTTCCTGTGCAATAGAAAATCAGCCTCTTCATCATTCCATGTTGTTAGGTTGCATTTGTAATTGTGTCATGTTCCCTATGATTTATTAATAAATCTAAACTACTGTTAATGATTGAATTACTCCATTCCCACACTCCCTTCACCCTCACATCCAATCTCTTAAGAGGAAAATTAACTTTTGCAAAAATTCTCAAGATATTTCTTTTTGGTTGTTTCAATCGCTGTTATGATTTGCTTATGGTAGAAATGAGCCTGTAAGTGGCAACTTATTAAGATGGGGACAACTACTATAGAATGGGTATACTTATTGGTCATTTGGGAAGTCATTTTTCTTTCTATATATCTTTATTCTTCTCATTTTAAGGAAATTATGCATTAATCATGAAGTGAATAAAGCCAATCTTTAATAAAAGAAAAATAACACTTTTACTTGTATTTAGACTTAATTTTGATAAAATGTTTCCATTTAAAATATCACTACTTGATTGTTATTTAATGGCTACATAGTAAAATTTCTCATTGATGATATTAAAAGTTTAGAAAATTCTCACTCATAGATTATAAGCAGACCTGTTTAAAATCCAGGCCATGAGCCTCTTAAAATCCTTTCTACTCTACTTATTTATGAAATTCTGACAACTAACATCCTTCACTTATGCATAATATATTTGTTGAAATTGAAGGAATGCAGTACTATAAAATTTACTGAGATTGTATTTGTAATAACACATTTCTACCATTCTACAGATGAAAACAACATAGACAAATGATATTACTACATTCATCCAACCTTGAATGCAGTCACTTACAGATTTTACATGAAATGGGAGCTACTTTTAACTGCAAACTATTTCCACTTAAAAAATATGTAACTCAGGAAAACTGGGAGTGGGACACAGCATTCTCACAAGCTATATAAAAACACAGTGGAAAAGAGTCAGGGTCACATGACCAGTCATAATCACAGAGCAGAATAACTTCATCAGAGATTAGCATGAGAATTAATTGTTCTTGTGTTGCTGGAAGGATGAGACCAGGTCATAACCTCTGCCCTTGGATTTGTTTCTGATAAAGTATTTCAAGATGAAGACATCATCACAAAAACTATTTTGGTAACTCCGGTGTAGAGACCAAAACCATTCACTCATTCCCAAACATTGATAGCCTTCTTACCCTCACACTTGTCATTTTGCAGACTATATCCAGGTGGACAAATGCATCTGTAGGACCCATCCAGATTTTGACAGGTACCTGGTGCACATTTTCCAGGTTCTAGAAGACATTCATTGATATCTGCAAAGAAAAGGGAAAAAATCTGGCATTTCCATTAAACAATTAAAATTCAAAACACCTTGAATCAAGTTAAGGAAAAACTTTAAGTCCATAAAACTCCACCATGAAGAAAAATTAATGAATCAATAAAAATAAGCCTTGCCAACCTTTAAAAGTGTGCAATATAACAGCCATATTTTATTTTATCTACCACAAATTAAATATTTCCAGAAAAGTATAGCATGTGAAAACTTGGTGGGTATAAAGAGTTTAAGGACACCTAAAAGATTATATAAGAGGTTACTACAAAAGTATCTTGAAGAAAAAAAACAAAAAGAAAATCACAATTGCTTACTGTTGAACTGTTAAATGTAACAGTTTAACTGTTTTCTGTGAGTATAATAACTCCATTTTTAAAAATAAAGGAAGGCTGGGTGCAGTGGTTCAAGCCTGTAATCCCAGCACTTTGGGAGGCTGAGGAGAGAGGATTGCCTGGACCCAGGGGTTCAAAACTAGTCTGGGAAACTTGGTGAGACCTCGTCTCTACAATAAATAAAAAAATTAGCTGGGTGTGGTGGCGCATGCCTGTAGTTCCAGCTACTTGGAAGGTTGAGGAGGAAGGATCGCCTGAGCCCAGCAGCTCGAGGCTGTGAGCAGCATGCCACTGCACTGCAGCCTGGGTGACAGAGTGAGACTCCAACTCAACATAAAATAAATAAGTAAATAAAGGAAAAGTTATTATATATGTATACATGCACATGTGTGTATAAAACATGTGTGTATATACACATAAAAGTACATATATATGCATATATGTATATATGTACACACACACATATACTTTAGTAAAAACAAAGTCTTTACAGGTAGAATTAGTGTAATGTGACTGACTTTTCCTACAGGATTCCAGAAGGAAGAATTAGGCCAGAAACAGCATGATTCCTTGAGTGGTTTCTGGAAACGTCTTTCCAGGTCTTTCTGAACCTTGCACTCACCCACACAGGTCCTCCCATCAGGTGCCACTTCATAGCCTTCATTGCACTGACACTGGAAAGACCCCACTGTATTGATGCATTGGCCATTTCTGCAAAGGTTCCCATTTCCAGTTGCACATTCATCAACATCTGCAAAAAAAAAAAAAAAAAAAAAGTAAAAGAAAAAAAAATTCTTTGATGAATTCCAAAGAAAATGTTGTACTCCCAGCAATGATTAAAACCTTTGAGAAGAAAAATACTTATTCTGAATTTCTGTGGTCTTTGCTGGCTCAGTCAACCATAAGAAATCCCAATTAAGACCTAGTTTGTAACAACAGACCTAGCTTTCAGCATCTATCACACTTAACAGTAAGATCACAAAATTATGCTACAGACTAATAATTTACATTCAAATTTTATATCAGCTTTACTAGATCTTCCTTTTGATTTTGTTTTTAAATGCTAAAACTGATTTACTAATACACAATTCAGCCCAGGGTATTATCTAGCATTCTTGCAATTAGAAGTACTTAATTTAGCCTATAGCACAATAAAATAAAATAAATTTGGTTCATTACTTTTACCTATAAGTTTTATAAGGTGGATTTTATAGATTCAAGTGTTAGTTTATTTTAAGAGATACTACAGTGAAACATTTAGACAAGGAGATTCACATTATTCCTGAATCATAAAATTTTTATACAAATAGTTACTTTTGTATATTTTAAAACTTAATTCCATTTATTTTGAAATTGGTTAAATTCATAGCTAAGTAGACATAAAAACTATAGTTGTTAATGTGTGTCTTAATAAAAGCAATAGGTATAGTTATAGTAGTCCTCGCTTATCTGCAGTTTTGCTCTCCTGGGTTTCAGTTACCTGGGGTCAACCACAGTTCAAAAATAGATGAGTATAGATGGTAAGACATTTTGAGAGAGAGAGCAAGAGAGAGAGAGAAAGAGCACATTCATATAGTTTTTATTACATGTATTGTTACAATTGTTCTATTTTTATTAGTTATTGCTAATATCATAATGTGCCTAAATTATAAATTAAACTTTGGCATAGGTATGTAAATATAGGAAAAGCATAGTATGTACATGGTTCAGCACAATCTGTGGTTTCAGGCATCCATTGCAGGTCTCAGAATGCATCCCCTAAGTTTTAAGGGGGAACGACTGTACTATATTTTATGTTTAATTAATGCATCATATATTACAAATCCTGTAATCAATTGTCATGCATAAGATAGCAGACATTGAAAAAAGACAATGGGCACACTAGAGATAACACTAACTACAGAGAACACATATAAAACTGACTTCCTTTGGTGACACGCTATGTTGCACACGCACCTATGCAGTCATTGTTGTGAGAAAGGATGAAACCGTGATTGCAGCGGCAGTTGAAGGAGCCAATTGTGTTTCGGCAAGTTCCGTTCCCACAGGCATCCCTTTCACACTCGTTTATGTCTATTAGGAAGAAAGGCCATAGAGAAACATGATTATTAAAGGAAACAATGATTACATGGTTACTGGTGTTTAAGAGCATTTTGGGGTTCACAAAATCTCATTTGTAGGCTGAGAACATCTTGATACTGGTATTAGCTCCACCAGTGGTAGCTCTCTGCAAGAAACCAACAAGAGGAGAGGCTCTAAACCTTGGGAATAAACCGTTTCCTTGGCTGGTATGTGAAAGGAGGCAAACTAAGGACATGAATCCTGGGCAGGAATTATTTTATTCTATTTACTTCTAGAATTCTCCACCCCTGCCACTTTTCTCAAATATTTTCACTTGAAAATGGAAAAAAATTCTGTGCACATCTGGGTCTTGATGTGTTGCCACCTTTGGCAAACTTCAGCCTTTGAGATTCTCACTCCCATTTACCAAAAAGCAGTGACTCACCCAGCATTACCCCGCAATCAGCAACAGAATAATTTAGCTTTCTAGCCACCTGCCACTTCAGACATCTTTTCCTTTTTTCCCAGTCAACCCTAAAAACACAGAACCCACCAATGATGATTTCTCTCACTCTTCTAAGTTTTCCCAATGTGATGGTACTTAATTTGCTCTTCCCTTACACCCTTGCATGATTATTTGACTTTTTCCTCTTTGACTATTTTGTAAAGCTATTTTGGCATGTTATATGTCTTTCCATTTCATCACAGACGCTAGCAGTTTTCTTCAGTCTAACGCTCTCCCAACTGAGCTATTTTGGCAACTGCTAGCAGCTTTCTTATAAAGAGTAGGTGCATATTATATTAAGAAGGAAAAAAATTAAATGAAGAAAGTTGGTAGTACTGGTTTGCAAGAGTAGGGTTCAATGAGAGGCAAGAATGAAGGAATAGAGAGAGAGAGTAGAAGATAACACTTAAAGATAGCAAAATGTAATGATTAGAATTAGAATTCCCTTTACTTTTATATTTTTGAACATGAAGATAAATGATCTGTTATCCTGAGTCAGGAAGCTATTGCTGACCCAAAGTGACTCTAATGTGTGTATATGTGGTTGAAGAACACATCCAGATAAGTCATTGCTAGCTATCAAGAGCTTATGTCTCCATTTATCTTTAGTTAAAGTGATGAAATTCTTTGGTGGGGGGGTCCCAGAAATTTCAGAGGGAAGGAGAAAGAAAGTTGGGCAGGGTCTCATGGCTATTGCAAGTGTTAGCTGTCCAGTGATAAGCAAGTCTGATTATACCCATTTCTTTTTCTTTTTTTTCTTTTTTTTTTTTTTTTTTGAGTTGGAGTCTCACTCTTTCACCCAGGCTGGAGTGCAGTAGCAGCTCACAGCCACTGCAGCCTCAACTTGCTGGGTTCAGGTGACCCTTCCCCCTCAGCTTTCCAAGTAGCCGGAACTACAGGCACATGCCACCACGCTGGGCTAATTTTTTTATTTATTGTAGATGAGGTCTCACCAAGTTGACCAGGCTGGTCTCAAACCCGTGAGCTCAGGCAATCCTCTCACCTGGGACCCCTTTCTTTTAAAATGTGTTATAGCTTTGGAGAAGACAAAACTTTATGAGAATGTTCCCTAATGGATGAATCCAGTTATAGCCAAAGGCAAGCACATTAAACTTTTCTCAGTTAATTGTTCTTCTTTCAGGTGTAAATCTGATTAATGTCCTTAAAGCCCCTCAAAAAACTTAATGGATATTGCTTTATAGTAAAAAAAGAAAGGAGGGAAAGGGAGAAAATGATTGATTACATATTTGAAGTTTATTCTAAATCAGCATCCTGACAGTACTGAAATAAGGGAAGAGATTTAAAATCTTGAGCTCTTTTTCCTCTAGGAAAATGATCCTTAATTTTTTTTTTTTTTTTTTTTTTGCCTTTGTGGAACCTGCAAATTTGCCTGTGAGGACCTGGTACAAACTATACACCCTATTCAAAAACAAAAAAAAACAAAAATGTTCATACCCACATTCACAAGCTGAACCCCAAAGCAAACTTATAAATATTATAACAGAATAATAGGCTATTAACATAAATAAAAATCAATTATTTGTTTTAATAGCTTTATCAATTTATTCCATAGTCAAAAGTGTTTTTTTAAACTTACAGCCAAATGAATAGCAGTAAGAAATATATTATGTACAGATTACAAAAGATTAAATAGGATATCACTGCTGCATACCTGTCTATGTTTTTATTCTGTAAATAGCAAAAACACTACTCAAAGACTTGAAATCAAATTTTATCTATATTCAGATGCAAATAAATTTTTCAATAGTATATGGGGAAAAATAATAATCACATACTTACCCAAACACATGGTTTGGTCAGCATTTGTTTTGAAGCCAGTGTGGCAAAGGCAATAAAAACTTCCAACTGTGTCAATACACTGTCCATGGCTGCATATATTGGGAATTTCTTGACATTCATTGCGATCTGTGAACAAAAAGCATTTTAAGCATCTTAAGTGGAAACTTAGAAGAAATAATCTGTTTTAATTACTTACTTCTATGTATTGGTCTAAAGAGCAATCCTAGCTCTAAACTAAGTTAGTGAAACAGACACTGGCAGTATATTTATTTTTACCTCAAAATTGGTTAAAACTTACTCTCATTTATTAGGCACATTCAGAGTACGTTAACAATACATGAACAATGAAAAACGGGTAGTAATAAAAAATGTTCTGAAAGATGAGAAACTGTAGAAGCAAAATGGGGAGAAAAGCTCAAGCTAGGAGGATACTCTGTTTAATTATCTACCTATGCAGCATCATAGACTGTGAAATTAACAGAATACTTTGTTAGTTAAGGTTTGGTGTCTCAAATCATGGATACCTTATGGATTCCTTTGGAAATGTATATCGAAGTGAAACTAATTCCAGTGCTAAGATTGAGTTTTTCTTGATGGACAACCCACATAGTTCCTTGTTCAGGTTTTACCCATTGTTTTGTCTTACTCACATGAACTTTCCTTCCAGCTTCCCCAAGCTTCCATGTTCACACAGGGCTCCTTTTAGCATGGGCCAATCCTAACACTGTCTCTTTCTTTTTATTCATATTCATTCTAAAGAAAGCCTTTTCATCTTGCTTCTGCCAGTCTTTAAGCTCTAAATTATATTTATCATCAACTGAATCTTTGTTATTCTCCTAAAATCTAATTTTTTTGAGGGGGAGGGGGTGGAATTTCATGCATAAATTCACAAATTACATGCCTACTTATATCTCTAATTTTTTTTAAGTGCTCAAGAGTTTAGGGTGAATGTATTTTTAGGGTAAATGCTCTATGTTTAGGGTAAATGTATTTTGAATAGCACTGTAATACCCTGACTTTCCTACTGTCACAGAAGAAAGTAAACAGAGTGACATCTTTGCTGTAGATGCTGTAGACCAGATGGTACTCTGCTCTTGGCTGAATAATACAGATTTGCTATTTGCCTGCCCTGTCTACTGAGAACACAACGATCAGAATTGGGTCCTTTTTGCTACACAGAGCAAGACTGCCCTTCCCAGAAGAACAGATTCTATCTCTGTTTCATGTATCCAGGCTGCCATTTTTATGCCTACGTCTTACTTAGTAGAACTGATGAATCACTCTGCCCTTTAAAAGTCCCAAATGAGGTTGAGTGTATCCTCCAGAGGGGAAATTGAGATAGTATATAGCTTAGGAGATACTGCTAGCCTATGTAGAAACGTTAGTTGACAAATTATACTTATTCCCATTTGAGAAATAGAAGTCTAATAATGAAGAGAAAGTTTCAAATAGAAGTCTAATAATGAAGAGAAAGTTTTAGTTCTTTTCATTTTAAACATAGGCAGAGAGAAGTTTTTTGCAGCATGCCTGAAAAATGCTAAGTATGGGATAGCATTTAAAGATATTTTTTAAGATTTTTAAAGTAACATGTAAATGAAGACATTTCCAGAATGAAATCTTTAACACAAGAGGCTGAATAATTGCAAAATTCACATATATACCCTTTCTTCTGAAAACTTCAAGGAATGAGGGAAATCGAGCTTTTGACTACAGACAACACTTACCCACAACACATTGTTGGATACATTTTATGTATGTTAATGTTCTACAAGAAAATATGAAAGTCCCTAAGCCCCAGTGGGCTCTGGCTAAATGTCCTGATCTATAAATAGCTCTGTCTCATTTCTTACCTGAGTGTGAAATGACACGTTCTATATTATCAGCAATTCATTATTTGACTGGAATTATCTCAACCAGTTCTAAATAAATATAAATTATGAGCAAAAAAGCAGGGAAGTGGTATCAATGCCAAGTTTCTCTAGGGTATTGTGGTTCATATCAGAGACGTCCCCACTTTTCCTGTCCCGTATTTTTAATACATGGATAGCAATAGCTTTGTTGACAAAATGTTAAATACTTACACATGTTCCTTGAAACTCAACAAAACAAATCTTGACTCTCAGTGTGATTTTTTGTTCCACTATTACACCCTCTTTCCACCAAGGTCGCATAAAACAATGCAAAATACCCTACAGAGAGCAGTGCACTTCCTACCACTTAATCACTGGTAGGCAAGGAAATCCAAGGAAAATCTGACCACGTTCCCCTGTGTTGTTTCATTCACAAATGCACAAAATATCCAGGAAACTTGCTGTGAAATGAGTCCTAAGCAAAATAGCATGTTCTTCCTGATCTCTTTGCTTAAATATACAATGATCTACAATTACTTAAAAACTTACGAGAAACTCATTCTGAGATATTATTTTGATTCTGAACTGAAACACCAGTGTTTTAATTTTCATAACACTGGCTACAAGATACCATTAGATACTGAATAACTGTATTATCAGTTTAACTTGATAACACAACCATCCTTATTTCTACCACATCCCTGACAAAAACAAACAATAACAACAAAAATTTAACCCCTGGGGGACACAGTTTCTCATTTACTGTAGGTGACTTATAGTTAATAAAAGGTTGATAATGGGCTAGGCTCAGTGGCTCAGCCTGTAATTCCAACACTTTGAGAGGCCAAGGTGAGTGGATTGCCTGAGCCCACAGGTTCGAGACCAGCCCAGGCAACTTGGTGAGACCTTGTCTCCACAATAAATAAATAAAAAAAATTAGCCAGGAGTGGTAGCATGCACTTGTGGTTCCATTTACTTGGAGGCTGAGGTGGAAGGATCGCCAGAGCCCAGCAGGTCGATGCTGGGGTGAGCTCGCCACTGCACTCCAGCCTAGGCGACTGAGTGAGACTTCAACTCAAAAAATAAAAAGGTTGATAATATTTGCTGTTTCAGTGAGTGATCTTTTGTCTGTAAGATATTTGGGAAGAAAAACACTGCTAGTTTTGTTTGTTCTGTTTATGCAAATTAATCTGACCCAGTTCAGGAGAGTTTCACTATCTAGATTTGGAGTGTATGACCAAGATGGTAAAAACTTCGTCTATCTAAGAAGAATTCTCTGGAAGAAAAAAAATGATTTGGTTCTAAACATAGGTTAGGGGAGTGTGTGTAGGCATACTTGTGTAGGTGTGTATATGTGTGAGGGTGGGTGTTTGCAGGCAGAGCAGTAGATAGGCACATATGAAATCTATTTACATAAATGATTTACTTCTTGTTTTGAAAATATCTCATCTATAAAGAGGAAAAAAGCTGTGTTTAGACATTTTAACAATTTTCTTTTTTTTCCAATTTAGTTATTACACATTAACCTAAATCTGAACTCATGTATTCTTCAGTCTATCTCAAAAGAAATCCAAGTATCTGAAGCTTGATGAAGACATCTTCTTGGGTGGGCACGCCCAGTCCATGGGTCACTACGTACCATTGCACTGTCCTGTGGAGGTGAAGCGGTAGCCAGGCTTACAGTCGCAGCGGTAGCTGCCTGCAGTGTTGATGCATTCAGCATTGCGCTGGCACACTGGACCATTCTGGCATTCGTCAATGTCTATAATCAGAAGAGAATTTAATTAGAAGAAGAACAGACTCTGGTGTCCAGACAATGAAGCCTCTCACATAAAAACAAATTTATATTTTCTTATTTTGATCCGTTCTATTGAAAAGACAACACAGAGGTTTATAGCAGTTTTATTCGTGATTGCCAAAATTTAGAAGCAACCAAGATGTTCTTCAAAAGGTGAGTGGATAAATAAACTGTGATACATTCAGACAATGGAATGTAACCAAGTGCTAAAAAGAAATAAGCTATCAAGTCATGAAAAGATGAGGAGGAAACTTAAATGCAAACACTAAGTAAAAGAAGTCAATCTGAAAAGACTACATATTGTATGATTCCAATTTATGACATTCTAGAAAAGGCAAAACTATGGAAACTAAAAAGATCAGTGGTTGCCAGGGGTTGGGAGGGGAGGATAAATAAGTGAAGTGCAGAGGATTTTTAGGGCAGAGAAATTACTCTAAGACACTGTAATGGTGGACACATCATTGTACATTTGTCCAAACTCATAGAATATACAACACCAAGAGTGAACCCTAATGTCAATTATGAGCTCTGGGATGGCAATGCAGGTTCATCAGCTATAATCATATACCAATCTGGTGGGGGATGTTGATAATGGGAGAGGTTGTGCATGTGTGCAGGTAGGGAGTATATAGGAAATCTCTGTATCTTTTAAATTTTGCTGTGAACCTAAAACTGCAGAAGAAAATACTTTTGTTTTTTTTAAAAAAGGAGACTGAAAACCCATTATCCAAAGTTCCCACTTTAGTAATATTATTTATAAATGCAAGTTTGATTTATGACCACATATGGACTCTAATGATGCTCATGTCTAAAAACAAGTCATGAAACTTGGCTGCTAGGGCCAGGACTTGATGTAGGAAGTCTTGTATTTACTCAAAGTCCCAGGATTTTATGATTCAATAAGGTTGCTTTTGTCTGGAAGGCTGGAAGGCCCATACGGCAGAACATCTCAAACCTTAACGTCTATATGAATCACTTGGGATCTAGTTAAAAGGCAGATTCTGATTCGGCATGTTTGGGCAATGGCCCGAAATTCTGCATTTCTAACTCCCAGGTGATGCAGGTGCTCCTGGTTTGTAGACAATGCTTTGAGGTTCAGGGCTGTAGAGAGACTCCTGCTTAAATTACCGCCACAAGGCAGTCAAGTCAAGAAAACCCAACAAGGGAGACTGCACATAAAACAATCCAACTCTCATTATCAAAGAAAATAATAAAATGGATATTGTGTGCTCCAGAGCTTTGATTTTGCTCAGGAGGTCATTTGCCTACTTTAAAAAAAAAAACAACAGGTACCTAGTATAGTTCAAACTCATGGCATCACAAAAGTTGCTGCATAGTCCAGGTTATACCACAGGGCAAAATACATGTTCCCTTCTCCCCTGCTCCAGTGGAACAATAAAAGCAAAGAGAATAGCCTGTAACACTGGTGAGGGTTGGCCCTCAGCACTAGTTCCTTCTAGTTTTTATGCAGAAGTTGGCTCAGCCAGAAAAGTCTCTATAAGGAGGTGGCAAATACATGAGCTGAAGCCTCTAATGTGTGGTTCTGTGGTGGAAAACCCTCAGGACAATCAGTCAGTCAGTGTGAGTTTCCATCTAAGGTGGGTGGATTGGGCCTCTCAGTGCAGACACAAGAGCAGGAGTATGCCTGCTTGGGTTGCAATGGACCCAGCACCGCCTCACTCACTAGGTCTGCCCTGCTCTGAATTAAGTGTATAGAGAAACACGGGGGGGGGGGGGGTCAGATTGTGCCACTAGAGAAGCTGCATGGTGTTACATATAAGCATTTCTTGATGTAACATCTGATAATGTACATACTTGGGAAGGGCAGATGCACGAAGTTTTCCTCAATCACTTCTGGAAGCCATTCCAGTTTCAGCATTGCTGAGGCCTGTATCAGATAAACCTTCATTTTCTGTTTCTAAGAGCTAAGAGTGTGCTTGGAAACAGCTGACCCTGAATTAAACGCACATCCTGAAAATGAATATTCTGGGAGACAGGAACCAAAAATCAGAGCACTTAGTTACCTCAATAGCCACCAAATGCTACCCTGACAGGAAAATGCCTCGCAATAATACAGCTGCATGTTTCCAGTCTCATGGATATAGCAAGCTCTAAGTTGACTTGGTGGGCGGGTGGCCTTGCCAAGGGTTCTGGCCAAGGGCTGCTGCTTCAGCAAATATGAGCAGCAAAGAGGCACCTGGGTGAGGCAATTATCAAAGGGATCTCTGAATGCAGAGAAGGGAAAATGGCCACAAGACAGTGGCAGGCATGCTGAGGCCTGTAGAGAAGGGGGAGGAGTGCGGTGAGGAGTGCCACTATGCAGAAGGCAGCCAAGCCTAACACCATAAGATCATCGGCTGAGGGCTCCCTTCTCCTCTCCCACATCCAGTCCACACTTCTTCTCAAGTATCTGTTCCTTGAAGTCCTCCCAAAGCCCAAGGACTGGGGCCAAGGTCTCAAATTGTTATCTCCTTAGCAAGGCCCTGAATGGCTATCCCCACATTTCCACTAACTCACACAGCGACAGAGTAAAAGACATGTGCCCACTTGGCCACAGTAACTGAAAGGCTGAGAAGACCTGAATGAGTATGTGGTTAGGGCTCATGGTATATAAGTTGTCCCCAGTTTAGTGCGGAAAAAAGTTTTTTTTAACATTAAAATATTGACATATATGCTATAATACATGCTTAAGGAGTAATAACCCTTTCTAACATGAACAAAACTCTGTTAGAGGCCTAAATTTAAGTATTAAACAGAAAATTATTCCAGCTATCCTAGGGCACATGGTATATTTAATAACTAGTAATATCCCTCTTACTAAAATATAAAAGACACTATCTTTCCCAGATGTAGGAAAAAATATGAAGTGCTACAAAGAATGCTCAGAATCGCAGTACATATACATGGCAACAGGAGGTAATTTGAAAATGAAAAAAATACCATTTGCCTGCATGCCAACATTCTTCATATAAAATCAAATTTGCTGTTCTTGCCATTTGGAATTCTCTCATGCATTTGGAATATTTGCATTAACCTTGTTTTCACTTGGGAGTAGCAAAGTCTCCATTTGGAAGAGAACATTGATTTTGAGAGTCAACTAAAGAGGACTGTCCACTCATGTTCACTTTCAAACAATGCGAAACAAAAAAGCGATCTATTTGACACGCCCAGGAACTCAAAGCTTTTTCATTATCAGCTGGGAAATTGAATACATTGTGTGTTGAGGAAAGGGGGCTGGGAATGCACATCCTGGTTTTGCACTGGGAGTTAGTAAAATTTTTTGCATGAAATTTCGTGTTTTTCCATGAATGCCCTTCACTATTCCTAGAGCTTGATGCATTTTGGAAATTTCAGTGGTGTCAAATTTGCCAAGTATATGTCTTTGAGTAGCTCATCAGTTGGCTCATTTCTGGATATGATAAAGTTATAACAACACTTACCTTCACAAACCAACAACTTGTCATTATAGAAGAATCCCACTGGACATTCACAGCGGAAGCTGCCAACCATGTTGATACACACTCCATTTTCACAGACCCCTGGGATCTCCCGGCACTCATCAATATCTGGAGACAGAGCAGTCACTCATGAGGGACAGTATAGCACAGGATCCCCAGGAAGGGTAATGCAGGATTGAAAGTGCTGGGATGTGTGGGACTGCACGTGTACACATGTTGGGGTGGTAATGATGGGAACAGAAAATATCAATGAATAGCAAAACTGAGCTAACTAGACGACTTTCCAGACTCATGAGTCTATCTGAATTTAGAATCTGTCTTTTGGTTTTGTTTCAGAATGTCAACTTTGTACAGATAGGAGCCATCTTTGTATCCAGTGGGCACTGTGAACACACCAGACAAGTAGAATAAAAGCGATTGTCAAGAGTAAACAGCCTCTCCACTCCAAGTCTGCAGTGGTATTTAATGAAAATGGAACTGTGAGTTGGTGAAGAACAGAGGAGGAACCTGTGGTCAAAGAGAACTCTGATCTTTCAAAGTCCACTTCAACTCCCCCTTCCTCCTTCATATGGCTTTACAAAGGAGGTAACTCGGGTGTGGGGATGTAAGCTGGGCGGGAACTGACTGTGAAGATGAGGTCAGCATGGAGAAAGAACTGTCACAGTAGACTGTGGTCGATTTCTAAGGTAGGAGGCTGGACCTGCTCCACCACTTTGTTACAGGTCCTTAGCACTCTATGTGGGTTAGATTCAAATTTGTTAAATTCAGAATCTGATCCTGGCAATCGGTTGGTGAGCATTAAAACAGGACAAAGTAGGAGTGACAGGAGAGCCAGGACACCAGCTGCTAACACAAGGCTGGTCAGACATTGAAGGAGGCTTTGTGCAGGTCTCACTTCCTCACCAGCCTGGCACGGTCCCATCCATGTCTTACCTACTCTGAACTCCTGACTACTGAAGGACTCTCTAGGACAATAGTAGTAATAGTAATAATTATGGTAATAGTATTGATAGTATCCCACTTGTTACATGTCTGGTACGTTTCTCAAGCATTTAGCCTACATTTATTCATTGAATTATCACATCCTACCTATGAGAAGGTGTCAGGGTAGTCTGACTATCCTCACTATACTGATGCAACTGAGGCCAAGCCAGAGGGTATAACCTGCCAAAGACCACACAGCTAATAAGAGGCAGAGTCAGGACTGGATGCTAGGACTCTGCTAACAGGACATCCTGCCTCCTTTATGTTGTACCCCATCACCCTAATACAATCTGCACAGAACTGTCATCAAGGTGCTTCTTATCCTAGAGGGCCTCTCCGTCAGACCCTTGGCTGACAAAATACTACAGCTGGGAGGGTGTGTAAAGTCTACTATCCCACATCTTTCCAATTTACCAGGCTTCTGTTACTGTTGTAGAGATACTTTGCTTACTTATTATGGTCAGGAGCCTCTGCAAGGTACATATTTTGCTTGCATAAGTTGTACAATGGTCATAGACTCAAGTGGAGCCTACAAGAGTTGCTGCAGTCTGAGAAAAATCACACTCTAAATCTTTTAAAAAAAAACTTTTTAAAACACACTCAATCTTTTTTGAAGGAGAAATTTGACAGCCCATAGATTTAGGCTGTATTAAAAAGGGGGCGGGTGTGATGTTGTTTGAAGGCAAATTAATTAATGGAAAAAACAAAAAACCAGCAAGAAGGTTAAAATCTCAAAGAGTATATTACTCTTTTGAATGTAAGCAATTTTGTTTTTAGAGTTTTCATGTCTTTGTCATTTGTGTTTTTAAAAAGTCATGTGAAGTAATATCACAAGTGTGTATCATCAGCAAACAAGAAAACAATTTAGATACCATTTGTTCAGTGTGGGTTAAAACATGAAATATCATCTTCACATTCATTTGTTTTAAATATAAGTGATGTATTATTATCAGGTTTAACAATAACAGGCTGAGTCAAATTTCCAGTCTTTGTTAGGAATAAAATAGCAACAGGATATATTAAAAATTATATTTTCTTTTCCTGCCTGGATTTTATTTGAACTTCAACTTGGAGAAGTTTATATTTTAGGACACGATTAATAAACGTGCTATAGTTTTAGCCCTATATGAATGGACTCTACATGCCAACAATCCTAATATCTTCCAAAATGAGAGTATAAAGCTTAAATAAAACAAAGTTTTCCAGTCATCTAAATATTTTGTCATGGTGGAATTTGGTAACAATAAGAATACTGCTAAATATCAGATTTCTAGTTTTTAAGAGCTAGAGGCAAAGTAAGCTATGAGTCAGGACTGGTTCTGGTCCCAGCTCTGTTATTAATTAGCTGGGTGGCCTTGGGTGAGTCCCTTCCCCTCTCTGGGCCTCTGTCTCCTCAAATGTGAAGCAAAGCATTTGGACTAGATGATGTTTGAGGCCTTTCCAGCTCTACTGGTGGACGATGCTAATGTTGTTTGAGTCTTTGCTGACTGCCAACCTTGGAGGGCAGCCTTGCTGGGGTACATGCCTGGTGGGTCCATGGAGAACCATTACTACTAGAGACCACTTATCTTCTGATCATAGATCCTAGGAAGATTAAAAAATCTGTTTTGGGAAGAGGAAAAACAAAGCAGCTAGGGCCAGGTGTTTCATGCCAATGTCATTTAGCAGTTTTTCTTTCCAAACCATGAAGTTTCTTTGGACGTTGACTAGACTGTGGAGCCATATGGATTTGGCACTAAGGAAGCCAGGCTGATTGCTGGACCAGATTCTTGTTTTCTTAAACAAGGTCACTGGAAAGGCTGATGTGGATTTCAGTTTACTTATTAGGAATAAGGTGGAACAAAGCAAGTGGCGATGTTTGCTACTAGACACACAACTGCTCAGACTTAAGAGGGCATCTAAGGATGCATATAAATCACACCAGGGAAAAACTCTGAGAATGCAATAGCTTTCCATCAACTTTTATGTTACTTGATTTTAAACCACAAGGGCATTGCCTACGTTGGCTGAATGCTGTGCAATACTTCTGAATCTTGCACAAGCATCTCTACCACTGTCGTGTTCCCTGCTTCAGTTACCAGACAGGGGCTCAGACTGAAAAGATTCGTATTTCTATCTGAAATTCTCAAAGCAGATGCCCTGAAGAGATTCCATGTGAGGTAAAATTGATCCACAAGAAAAGGGCTTTATGTGAACAACTTACATGTAAGGATTGGTGTAAAAAGTCATATTAAACTCGTCTTAGTCAAAAGAAAGGATCGGGAATTACAGTCAAATCAAATGTCAAATGGCCCTACTCCCAGAATCTATCCTTTTGTTGATGCCTAGGGTTGGTTTAACTAAGCTTGATTGTAATTTTGTGAAAAGCTTTCCAGTCCCCTTAATCATGAGCAACAAATGCTGCTGCCAATTAGGTGGGGCCATACAGGGTGTTAGCACAGTTTGTTTCAAACTAAGAATCAGTGTTTCAGTAAAACCAAGGGCATTGTTTAACAATTTTTCCTTTTAAGAAAAAAAAAAGCAAACTGAGAAAATAATGGTGTGTACTCCTCTTGCGAACACAAAGGCAAAAAACAGAAAGTTCAGATAATGCTGTCGTAACTCACCAACAGGTAAACCCGTATAAATGTCGATGACGAAGCCTGGCCTTTGACTTCCACAGAGTGTAGCAAATTCATCTGCAATGTTTGAACAAGGGTGGGGGTGGGTGGATAGGGGTCAGCAAAGAGCAACAATTGGACCGTAAGAAATTACTCTATAAAGTGTTCTTAAAAGGTTTTATCTGTATTTTGAAGTATTTCAAATAAGAAGTCTGAAAATTCCTAAAGAGGTAACCATGTCTGTAAGACAAACTGAAGAAAGAAATGATCTCATGCTGATATGATAATGAAGAAAATTAGAGCTCTCCCCATCACACACTACTCCTTTGTATGAGCTTGCCTATAGGATTCTGGATTTCCACACCAGGATTGCTCAGCTTTGATCTCAGGGACTGGTGAGAGTTCCTCTCTGTACTCTGCATTAAGAGATCTTGGGTTTGAAAAATCTTTACAAAAGCCACTTTCTCAGTAGTTGGGGGGATATCATAGGAAATCTAGCCAAGTCCTTGACATCACATCTATTAATGTCTAACTTGGGTCAACCAAACATTCTTTGTTGTTTCTTCAATTTTTGGAGCTAGGTTTCAATTGGTAGAGTTCCCTCTCCCTTTGTTCCTTTCTGTCTCTCTCTTTCTCTAGCCTTAATTCAAAATAATAGATAATAAAGGATGAACTAAATGCTATTGGTAGCCCGTTCAAACTCTGGGATTCTGTAATTTCAGATCATGACTGTAACTAGTACTATATGGTAGCCATCTAAGCTTAAGGAGGCCATTGCCTTATTGGTCACACTAAGTAAAAACTAGTAAAAGATTTCTGGAAGTATTTTTAATCAAAATGTTGCAAGTTATTATCCTAGTGCTTTATTTCCTTAATCTATGAGAGTCCACTTCCAGCATATGCAACACTAGCTGGCACTTGCCATGTGGAGAAATTACAAGGACATCTAAAATATGTACAGATTTTACAGCTAATGAAAAGTCATGACTGGATTTGATGAGTCTACAACATGAAAAGAAATCTTTCATTTTCTACAGCAGTATGCAGATTTTGAAAACTCAGGCAGTCATTTCTGAAAGTAAATGTTAGTCTATATCAAGATATCCATAGTGGTCTCCAGAGGAGTGTGTAATGATCCATTAAGATAAAAAAGAAAATAGTAAGGCTTATATCTATCTTTGGAAAACCTACTCTTAAAAATGCTTTTGTGTATATTTCATATAGAACAGTTCACAAAAATAATAAATTCATTTTTCAGCACAATTGAAAACAAATATTATACATACATATAGACATATATACATAGACTTTTACCTGTAGGCACACACCAGTGTGTATAACCCCCAGATTTCTTTATCAAGAGGTATGTATAATCAAAAGTTATAAAGATCAGTGTTCAAGATCAAGGGTTAGCAAATTTTTTCTTAAAGGACCAAAAAGTAAATAGTTTAGGCTTTGTAGGCTGTAGTCTCTGTCAAAATTATTCATCTCTGCTATGAAAGCAGCAGTAGACAATATGTAAATAAATTAGTGTGGCTGTGTTCTAATAAAGTTTTATTTGTGGGCACCAAAGTTTGAAGTTCAGTAACTTTCACATCATGAAATATTATTCTTCTGATTTTTTTTCCAACGATTTTTTTTTTTTTTTTTTCATTAATCAGTAGTTTTTATTATGGTTTTGTGGGGTACAGTTAAGGGTAGGTGTACAATGACGTTTCATTCAGGCACCCTGTAGATAAGAAGTGTTTTCCCATCCCCCGACAGATATTTGCTACTGTTAATCCCATCCCCCTCCCCCCCATAGTTTCCCAGTACCATCCGTCATTTTCTCATAGTATTGCATTGGATGTTCAAGGTCCATTATATGAGTGAGAACATGTGATATTCGGATTTTTGTTTTTGTGAGAGGTCACTCAGTATTATAGACTCTAGTTCCATCCAGGTTGCAGCGAATTTCATGATTTTGTTCTTTTTTATGGCTGCGTAGTATTCCATCGTGTATATGTACCACATTTTTTTAATCCAGTCCTCTTTTGATGGGCAGCATGGTTGTTTCCAGGTTCTTGCTATTGTGAACAATGCTGCGATAAACATACGT